AGAGAGACAGTAAAACAAGTCCTGGGTAGCCTTCTCTAGAGTGACAGTAAAACAATTCCTGGGTAGCCTTCTCTAGAGAGACAGTAAAACAAGTCCTGGGTAGCCTTCTCTAGAGTGACATTAAAACAAGTCCTGGGTAGCCTTCTCTAGAGACAGTAAAACAAGTCTTGGGTATCCTTCTCTAGAGAGACAGTAAAACAAGTCTTGGGCAGCCTTTTCTAGAGAGGCAGTAAAACAAGTCTTAGGCAGCCTTCTCTAAAGAGAGTAAAACAAGTCCTGGGTAGCCTTCTCTAGAGACAGTAAAACAAGTCTTAGGCAGCCTTCTCTAGAGAGACAGTAAAACAAGTCTTAGGCAGCCTTCTCTAAAGAGAGTAAAACAAGTCCTGGGTAGCCTTCTCTAGAGACAGTAAAACAAGTCTTAGGCAGCCTTCTCTAGAGAGACAGTAAAACAAGTCTTAGGCAGCCTTCTCTAAAGAGAGTAAAACAAGTCCTGGGTAGCCTTCTCTAGAGACAGTAAAACAAGTCTTGGGTAGCCTTCTCTAGAGAGACAGTAAAACAAGTCTTAGGCAGCCTTCTCTAAAGAGAGTAAAACAAGTCCTGGGTAGCCTTCTCTAGAGACAGTAAAACAAGTCTTGGGTAGCCTTCTCTAGAGAGACAGTAAAACAAGTCTTAGGCAGCCTTCTCTAAAGAGAGTAAAACAAGTCCTGGGTAGCCTTCTCTAGAGACAGTAAAACAAGTCTTGGGTAGCCTTCTCTAGAGAGACAGTAAAACAAGTCTTAGGCAGCCTTCTCTAGAGAGAGTAAAAAACAAGTCCTGGGTAGCCTTCTCTAGAGACAGTAAAACAAGTCTTGGGTAGCCTTCTCTAGAGAGACAGTAAAACAAGTCTTAGGCAGCCTTCTCTAAAGAGAGTAAAACAAGTCCTGGGTAGCCTTCTCTAGAGACAGTAAAACAAGTCTTAGGCAGCCTTCTCTAGAGAGAGTAAAACAAGTCCTGGGTAGCCTTCTCTAGAGACAGTAAAACAAGTCTTGGGTAGCCTTCTCTAGAGAGACAGTAAAACAAGTCTTAGGCAGCCTTCTCTAAAGAGAGTAAAACAAGTCCTGGGTAGCCTTCTCTAGAGACAGTAAAACAAGTCTTAGGCAGCCTTCTCTAGAGAGACAGTAAAACAAGTCTTGAGCAGCCTTCTCTAGAGAGACTATAAATCAAGTCTTAGGCAGACAATTTGGTTAAACTAGTAATTCACATAGTTGTAAAAATAGTCTCTCTCCGGATTTAACCCCCCCCCCCCCCCCCCCCCCGGAGACTTGAAGAGTTGAAGATTAACACCCAGGGACTCGAAGAGCTGCTGTTCCTGTGAGGGCCCAACACTAATAAATATAGTAACTTCCAAGAATACAACATCTGTCTGTCATAAGACAGCAAGAGCAGCATAAAAAAAGATGAACAAATCTATCACCCAAGCCAACCGAGAAGCGCAATACAAATACAGACAACCACAACACTTGGCTACAACCTGGTATCAGGGAGACGGCAGAAGAAGATGAACAAATCTATCACCCAAGCCAACCGAGAAGCGCAGTACAAATACAGACAAGCACAACACTTGGCTACAACCTGGAATCAGGGAGACAACAGAAGAAGATGAAAGAGTTCAGTGCCATTTTCATCAGTTTTAAATATGCCACTAAACTATACTCAGTTATTTGTCATTCTGTAATGTTTATTTGTTGTGTAAATGACATGCCGTTTGTCTTTCAGTGGACTCAAGGTTCTCATCACTGTAAACCTCAGAGTCAAATACAATCTAAGAAAAAACCGAACAGTGTCAAAAATCTTTGACGAAAATGTTTCCAAGTTTCCCAACAAGACATTCCTGATATTTAATGACAAGCGCTGGACTTTTAAGGAAGCTCAGGATTATGCAAATCAGGTCGGCAACTATTTTTATGAAGCCGGTTATCGGAAAGGAGATGTAATAGCTCTGTTTGCGGAAAACTGTTTGGAGTACATTCCCCTGTGGCTTGGATTGTCCAAAATTGGCGTGACAGCTGCTCTGATCAACTTCAACCTCAGAGATGTATCTTTAAGTCACTGCATTCAGGTCAGTCTTTAGCTTGTATTTAATTTAAATCATTGTATTCTGGTGTTTGATATATCACATACTTGAACTGTGGATAGACTTAATTTGGCATGGATACTTGTTTGATATGTCAGATACCTAAACTGTGGATAGACTTAATTTGGCATGGATACTTGTTTGATATGTCAGATACCTAAACTGTGGATAGACTTAATTTGGCATGGATACTTGTTTGATATATAACATACTTGAACTGTGGAAAGACTTAATTTGGCATGGATACTTGTTTGATATGTCAGATACCTAAACTGTGGATAGACTTAATTTGGCATGGATACTTGTTTGATATGTCAGATACCTAAACTGTGGATAGACTTAATTTGGCATGGATACTTGTTTGATATGTCAGATACCTAAACTGTGGATAGAGTTAATGAGGCATGGATACTTGTTTGATATGTCAGATACCTAAACTGTGGATAGAGTTAATTTGGCATGGATACTTGTTTGATATGTCAGATACCTAAACTGTGGATAGAGTTAATTTGGTATGGATACTTGTTTGATATGTCAGATACCTAAACTGTGGATAGAGTTAATTTGGCATGGATACTTGTTTGATATGTCAGATACCTAAACTGTGGATAGACTTAATTTGGCATGGATACTTGTTTGATATATCACATACTTGAACTGTGGATAGACTTAATTTGGCATGGATACTTGTTTGATATGTCAGATACCTAAACTGTGGATAGACTTAATTTGGCATGGATACTTGTTTGATATGTCAGATACCTAAACTGTGGATAGAGTTAATTTGGTATGGATACTTGTTTGATATGTCAGATACCTAAACTGTGGATAGACTTAATTTGGCATGGATACTTGTTTGATATGTCAGATACTTGAACTGTGGATAGACTTAATTTGGCATGGATACTTGTTTGATATATCACATACTTGAACTGTGGATAGACTTAATTTGGCATGGATACTTGTTTGATATATCACATACTTGAACTGTGGATAGACTTAATTTGGCATGGATACTTGTTTGATATATCACATACTTGAACTGTGGATAGACTTAATTTGGCATGGATACTTGTTTGATATGTCAGATACCTAAACTGTGGATAGAGTTAATTTGGTATGGATACTTGTTTGATATGTCAGATACCTAAACTGTGGATAGAGTTAATGAGGCATGGATACTTGTTTGATATGTCAGATACCTAAACTGTGGATAGACTTAATGAGGGATGGATACTTGTTTGATATGTCAGATACCTAAACTGTGGATAGAGTTAATGAGGCATGGATACTTGTTTGATATGTCAGATACCTAAACTGTGGATAGACTTAATGAGGGATGGATACTTGTTTGATATGTCAGATACCTAAACTGTGGATAGACTTAATGAGGGATGGATACTTGTTTGATATGTCAGATACCTAAACTGTGGATAGACTTAATGAGGGATGGATACTTGTTTGATATGTCAGATACCTAAACTGTGGATAGACTTAATGAGGGATGGATACTTGTTTGATATGTCAGATACCTAAACTGTGGATAGACTTAATGAGGGATGGATACTTGTTTGATATGTCAGATACCTAAACTGTGGATAGACTTAATGAGGGATGGATACTTGTTTGATATGTCAGATACCTAAACTGTGGATAGACTTAATGAGGGATGGATACGTGTTTGATATATCAGATACCTAAACTGTGGATAGACTTAATGAGGGATGGATACTTGTTTGATATGTCAGATACCTAAACAATGGATAGACTTAATGAGGGATGGATACTTGTTTGATATGTCAGATACTTAAACTGTGGATAGACTTAATGAGGGATGGATACTTGTTTGATATGTCAGATACCTAAACTGTGGATAGACTTAATGAGGGATGGATACTTGTTTGATATGTCAGATACCTAAACTGTGGATAGACTTAATGAGGGATGGATACTTGTTTGATATGTCAGATACCTAAACTGTGGATAGACTTAATGAGGCATGGATACCTAAGGTGCTATACGAGTAGTCTCTATTTGTTGTTGCAGTGCCATGTTTCTTCTTCTTCTGCTTCCCCCACCTGTTCTTATACACATTCATACACTGTAGATATTTGAAGAAAAAAGCAATGAGTTTGATTTGACAACTGTTGAATTTGTTCTAAAATGGATATTTGAGCCCAAGGTTTCTCTTCTGCACATGTTGGATGCTTACAATAGATGTGTGACTACTATTTTACAAAGCCTAAAGTTATACTAATCTGTTATTTCTAGCTAGGTTTTTGAAAACATGCTGACTGTATGGGTTCCAGGGCTCCATCACCCCTTGTACAATAGAACTGCTTTGGTACAGATAGAACTGGTAAAGTGCAGATAGAACTAGTAGGGTACTGATAGAACCAGTATGGTACAGATAGAACTGGTAAAGTGCAGGTAGAACCAGTAGGGTACTGATAGAACCAGTATGGTACAGATAGAACTGGTAAAGTGCAGGTAGAACCAGTAGGGTACTGATCGAACCGGTATGGTACAGATAGAACAAGTATAGTGCAAATAGAACCGATAAGGTACTGATAGAACCGGTTAGAACAAGTATAGTGCAAATAGAACCGATAAGGTACTGATAGAACCGGTATGGTGCAGATGGAACTGGTATAGTGCATATAGAACTGAAATGGTATAGACAGAACCACTATATTACAGATAGAACCTGTATGGACGAAGGGAAATTTAGTACAATATCAACATAAGCTTTTGAGAATATTACCAAACCTGAGCTGAATGTATGCAGGTTTCAATTTATGATCTGTGTCATTTCTTGCAGGTTTTTATTTATGATCTGTGCCATTTCTTGCAGGTTTCAATTTATGTTCTGTGCCATTTCTTGCAGGTTTCAAATGCCAAGGCCGTGATTTTTGCTGACAGCTTGCAGGAAGGTATGTTTGATCTACAGTTTGTTTGATCTACAGTAGGTTTGACCTACAGTATGTTTGATCTACACTATGTTTGATCTACACTATGTTTGATCTACACTATGTTGGATCCACACTATGTTTGATCTACAGTATGTTTGATCTACAGTATGTTTGATCTACACTATGTTGGATCCACACTATGTTTGATCTACAGTATGTTTGATCTACAGTATGTTTGATCTACACTATGTTTGATCTACCCTATGGTGGATCCACACTATATTTGATCTACAGTATGTTTGATCTACAGTATGTTTGATCTACACTATGTTGGATCCACACTATGTTTGATCTACACTATGTTTGATCTACACTATGTTTGATCTACACTATGTTGGATCCACACTATGTTTGATCTACAGTATGTTTGATCTACACTATGTTTGATCTACACTATGTTGGATCTACACTATGTTTGATCTACACTATGTTTGATCTGCACTATGTTGGATCCACACTATGTTTGATCTACACTATGTTGGATCCACACTATGTTTGATCTACAGTATGTTTGATCTACAGTATGTTTGATCTACACTATGTTGGATCCACACTATGTTGGATCTACAGTATGTTTGATCTACACTATGTTTGATCTACACTATGTTTGATCTACACTATGTTTGATCTACACTATGTTTGATCTACACTATGTTTGATCTACACTATGTTTGATCTACACTATGTTTGATCTACACTATGTTTGATCTACACTATGTTTGATCTACACTATGTTTGATCTACACTATGTTTGATCTACACTATGTTTGATCTACACTATGTTTGATCTACACTATGTTTGATCTACACTATGTTTGATCTACACTATGTTTGATCTACACTATGTTTGATCTACACTATGTTTGATCTACACTATGTTGGATCTACACTATGTTGGATCTACACTATGTTGGATCTACACTATGTTGGATCTACACTATGTTGGATCTACACTATGTTGGATCTACACTATGTTTGATCTACAGTTTGTTTGATCTACACTATGTTTGATCTACAGTATGTTTGATCCACAGTATGTTTGATCTACACTATGTTTGATCTACAGTTTGTTTGATCTACAGTATGTTTGATCTACAGTTTGTTTGTTGATGTTAATAAGAGTATGTGTCACTCTGTTCTTATCTTGAAAACCAGGAAATAAGAGGATGTTTTAGTTTGTTCTTGTCTGGACAGCCATGACATAATTTGATCTTATCTTCACAGCGATCAGTGACATACAGTCAAGTTTGGGGCCATCAGTCACGTACTACAGTCTCGGCAGCTCAGAGTCCCAGTCCTTGCAGGCCAAAAATATCAACCAAGAGATTGCCAGGAGTCCATCATATGAACCAGCCAGTGTTGCGGTCAGATGTTCAGGTACATTGCTTATGCTTACTTTGACATGCACAAAGGAATAATAATAATTGACCAGAATAAAATGGTGAGATATGAATCTAGCAGATGAAAATAAAAGAAACTGTAGTGTCTCTCCTTGAATCTAGCAGAAAGTATAGTGTCTATCCTTAAATCTAGCAGAAAGTACAGCATCTGTCCTTGAATCTAGCAGAAAGTATTGGAAGTTTGTCCTTCAATCTAGCAGAAAAAAATATTATGTTCCTGAATCTAGCTGAAAGAGTAGTATCTGACTTTGAACATAGCAGAAAGTATAGTGAGTCTGTCCTTGAATGTAGAAGAAAATATAGTGAGTCTGTCCTTGAATGTAGCAGAAAAAAGAGTTAGTCTGTCCTTGAATGTAGCAGAAAATATAGTGAGTCTGTCCTTGAATGTATCAGAAAGTATAGTGAGTCTGTCCTTGAATGTAGCAGAAAATATAGTGAGTCTGTCCTTGAATGTAGCAGAAAATATAGTGAGTATGTCCTTGAATGTAGCAGAAAAAAGAGTTAGTCTGTCCTTGAATGTAGCAGAAAATATAGTGAGTCTGTCCTTGAATGTAGCAGAAAATATAGTGAGTCTGTCCTTGAATGTATCAGAAAATATAGTGAGTCTGTCCTTGAATGTAGCAGAAAAAAGAGTTAGTCTGTCCTTAAATGTATCAGAAAGTATAGTGAGTCTGTCCTTGAATGTAGCAGAAAATATAGTGAGTCTGTCCTTGAATGTAGCAGAAAATAGAGTGAGTCTGTCCTTGAATGTAGCAGAAAATATAGTGAGTCTGTCCTTGAATGTCGCAGAAAGTATAGTGAGTCTGTCCTTGAATGTCGCAGAAAGTATAGTGAGTCTGTCCTTGAATGTAGCAGAAAATATAGTGAGTCTGTCCTTGAATGTCGCAGAAAGTATAGTGAGTCTGTCCTTGAATGTAGCAGAAAATATAGTGAGTCTGTCCTTGAATGTCACAGAAAGTATAGTGAGTCTGTCCTTGAATGTAGCAGAAAATATAGTGAGTCTGTCCTTGAATGTCGCAGAAAGTATACTGTGTCAGTCCTTGAACATAGCAGAAGGTGTAGTATATATGTCCTTGAATGTAGCAGAATGTATAGTGTCTGTCCTTAAATGTAGTAGAAAGTTTAGTGAGCTGTCCTTGAATATAGCAGAACATATAGTGAGTCTGTCCTTAAATGTAGTAGAAAGTTTAGTGAGCTGTCCTTGAATATAGCAGAACATATAGTGAGTCTGTCCTTGAATATAGTAGAAAGTTGAGTGAGTCTGCACTTGATTATGGCGGAAAGTGTAGTTAGTCTGTCCTTGAATGTGGCAGAATGTATAGTGAGTCGGTCTTTGAAGGTAGCAGAAAGTATAGTGAGTCTCTCCTTAAATATAGCAGAAAGTATATTGAGTCTGTCCTTGTGTATAGCAGAACATATAGTGAGTCTGTCCTCGAATATAGCACAAAGTATATTGGGTCGGTCCTTGTGTATAGCAGAACATATAGTGAGTGTCCTTGAATGTGGCAGAATGTATAGTGAGTCTGTCCTTGAATGTAGCAGGACTACATGGCTGTAGAAGGTGACTTGCGTGCGAAGGTGACAACGACACAGCTGTACTGAAACATATCTCTGATGTAGATGTTTATATAGAGAACTTTTGCACAGTCTTCACCATTGGTCCTGTAACCTTGACGGTGTTGATAAGTTGTGGTTTTGTTTGACACCTTCAAGATCAGACATGCTGCTTTGACAAGTGCCCTTGAAAATGTTTACCATTTCAACTTTATTGACAACTGGCATAGGTGATCATGTCTCCATGAAACCTCTTGTCTCTCTTGTGTTTCTGCTTGTGCTTTTTGTTGTTAAAAAAAAAAGGAAGTAATTTTGTTGTTGATGTTAATTAGAGGGTTTTGGATAGAAGAGAAGATCTTGTCATTTCACATGTAACAGATTAAACCTTGTCTATTTCACATGTAACAGATGACACCTTGTCTATTTCAGATGTTACAATGTTACATTTATCTCAGATACAGCAGTTATATATTCTTCTTCATCTTCCTCACCGGCTGTAAACTCTGGCAGAAAGTTCTGGTTGTTCGTCCACTTCTCAGCTTTGGTCTTATTCCAGAACTTGAGTTTTGAATGCACATCCGTTTCACAGATCTGGTTTATTTGTAAGCAGACTGTTGGTTCCTCACTAGATGCACTCCAGCTTTAAAGGAAACACCACCAGTTAGTAGACTCTTATGACATGCTTGTAAGGAGGGCGGTAGTCTGCTCTTTTTTACCCCCTAGAACCCACACAGGAAATGTTATACACAACATCCTGTTAGGTTTCATAAAATGATTGTGTCAAATACAACAATGGTGTATACAGATCTTCACATGTGTCTCCATACAAACTCTCTGGTGCTGTGTTACATAAAATGATTGTGTCAAATACAACAATGGTGTATACAGATCTTCACACATGTCTCCATACAAACTCTCTGGTGTTATGTTACAGAGAGACTGCTGCTGGTCTACACGTCCGGGACTACAGGCCTGCCCAAAGCTGCAGTTGTCTCCCACACAAGGTCAGCACTTTTGTGTCCAGCTTGTTGGTTAGTTATTGGTTTACTGTTGACATCACTGCACTCAGATGAGTGTTCAGTTTCCAGCAGAAACTACAGTGTATGGCCTGCCTCCTTTGTGCTGTATTTGAATACACTTCACACATGTCCATGCAGTCAGCATGTAAAACTTATTCTAGTTTGTCTTTGGTTCCTATAGTTTGTACCTTGTTGTCCTAGTGTCGTGTACAGTAATCAACTTATTCTAGAATACAGCCAGACTTCCCCTGACATTGCCACATATCCTCACATGTCCAGCAATGTATTCTCGGAGCAGTTGGTACATTGTGTTGTGGTATACAGCTAGGCTGTGTAGTCTGCACCTTTCAGCCCAGCACATCCAATGTCAACAAATCTCTAGTCACCTTCTGCTTGCTGGGGCTAGTTGATCTCTGCTTGCTAGGGCTAGTTGATCTCTGCTTGCTAGGGCTAGTTGATCTCTGCTTGCTAGGGCTAGTTGATCTCTGCTTGCTAGGGCTAGTTGATCTCTGCTTGCTAGGGCTAGTTGATCTCTGCTTGCTAGGGCTAGTAGATCTGTTTCCTCCCCAGTGACCACTGGAACCCACATGGTGACTACTTCCAGACATCTTTTCATTTAGTCACCTGGATGTTTCCTTGTCAAGTTCACCTGGATGTTTCCTTGTCAAGTTCACCTGGATGTTTCCTTGTCAAGTTCACCTGGATGTTTCCTTGTCAAGTTCACCTGGATGTTTCCTTGTCAAGTTCACCTGGATGTTTCCTTGTCAAGTTCACCTGGATGTTTCCTTGTCAAGTTCACCTGGATGTTTCCTTGTCAAGTTCACCTGGATGTTTCCTTGTCAAGTTCACCTGGATGTTTCCTTGTCAAGTTCACCTGGATGTTTCCTTGTCAAGTTCACCCTGGATGTTTCCTTGTCAAGTTCACTGGATGTTTCCTTGTCAAGTTCACCTGGATGTTTCCTTGTCAAGTTCACCTGGATGTTTCCTTGTCAAGTTCACCTGGATGTTTCCTTGTCAAGTTCACCTGGATGTTTCCTTGTCAAGTTCACCTGGATGTTCTCTTTTCAAATTTGGGAAACAAAATATATGTGTCTGTGTGTATGTATATATATCTATCGGGGTGGGGGGGGGGGGGGAGGGAGAGAGAGAGAGATTGTGTTGATTGTGTGTGTGTGTGATTGTGTGTGTGTGTGATTGTGTGTGTGTGTGATTGTGTGTGTGTGTGATTGTGTGTGTGTGTGATTGTGTGTGTGTGTGATTGTGTGTGTGTGTGATTGTGTGTGTGTGTGATTGTGTGTGTGTGTGATTGTGTGTGTGTGTGATTGTGTGTGTGTGTGATTGTGATTTCAATGGAAAATTACTGAAATGTATTGCCATAATGGGTTATTTGTATTATTACGATGTGTTGTGTGTATCACTGTAATATATTCTGTGTATCCATTTGTTGTGTGTATCACTGTAATATATTCTGTGTATCCATTTGTTGTGTGTATCACTGTAATATATTCTGTGTATCCATTTGTTGTGTGTATCACTGTAATATATTCTGTGTATCCATTTGTTGTGTGTATCACTGTAATATATTCTGTGTATCCATTTGTTGTGTGTATCACTGTAATATATTCTGTGTATCCATTTGTTGTGTGTATCACTGTAATATATTCTGTGTATCCATTTGTTGTGTGTATCACTGTAATATATTCTGTGTATCCATTTGTTGTGTGTATCACTGTAATATATTCTGTGTATCCATTTGTTGTGTGTTGTGTGTATCACTGTAATATATTCTGTGTATCCATTTGTTGTGTGTTGTGTGTATCACTGTAATATATTCTGTGTATCCATTTGTTGTGTGTATCACTGTAATATATTCTGTGTATCCATTTGTTGTGTGTTGTGTGTATCACTGTAATATATTCTGTGTATCCATTTGTTGTGTGTTGTGTGTATCACTGTAATATATTCTGTGTATCCATTTGTTGTGTGTTGTGTGTATCACTGTAATATATTCTGTGTATCCATTTGTTGTGTGTTGTGTGTATCACTGTAATAATATTCTGTGTATCCATTTGTTGTGTGTTGTGTGTATCACTGTAATATATTCTGTGTATCCATTTGTTGTGTGTTGTGTGTATCACTGTAATATATTCTGTGTATCCATTTGTTGTGTGTTGTGTGTATCACTGTAATATATTCTGTGTATCCATTTGTTGTGTGTATCACTGTAATATATTCTGTGTATCCATTTGTTGTGTGTTGTGTGTATCACTGTAATATATTCTGTGTATTCATTTGTTGTGTGTTGTGTGTATCACTGTAATATATTCTGTGTATCCATTTGTTGTGTGTTGTGTGTATCACTGTAATATATTCTGTGTATTCATTTGTTGTGTGTTGTGTGTATCACTGTAATATATTCTGTGTATCCATTTGTTGTGTGTATCACTGTAATATATTCTGTGTATCCATTTGTTGTGTGTTGTGTGTATCACTGTAATATATTCTGTGTATCCATTTGTTGTGTGTTGTGTGTATCACTGTAATATATTCTGTGTATCCATTTGTTGTGTGTTGTGTGTATCACTGTAATATATTCTGTGTATCCATTTGTTGTGTGTTGTGTGTATCACTGTAATATATTCTGTGTATCCATTTGTTGTGTGTTGTGTGTATCACTGTAATATATTCTGTGTATCCATTTGTTGTGTGTTGTGTGTATCACTGTAATATATTCTGTGTATCCATTTGTTGTGTGTTGTGTGTATCACTGTAATATATTCTGTGTATCCATTTGTTGTGTGTATCACTGTAATATATTCTGTGTATCCATTTGTTGTGTGTTGTGTGTATCACTGTAATATATTCTGTGTATTCATTTGTTGTGTGTTGTGTGTATCACTGTAATATATTCTGTGTATCCATTTGTTGTGTGTTGTGTGTATCACTGTAATATATTCTGTGTATCCATTTGTTGTGTGTTATGTGGCATTTTGAAGTGCATATTATTTTTTTTGAATAATGCAACTGGTATAGTGGTTGTGTTTGTTCTGTACTGAACCTGTCCTGGTACATGCTCTTATAGGCTGCAATTTATATCTGAATGAGGTACAAGTGGGCGGGGCCACCTGTTGCTGTATTCCGTTGGTGTCATCTGCCAGTGCAGTGAACATGACTGTGTATAATTGTAACTGACAGATACCTTGCACCTGGCCTGTTGATACTTGGCACCTGGCCTGTTGAGAATGGATGGCTGGTGAAACAGAAGTCATCAGTGTAATAATTGATCAGTGAAAATCTACACTGAGGTGACATCATTATATGCATGGTTGGATCTGTGCAGAAAGGTAGAAAGACTGAATGGCGTTTTATTGCAAAGTAGGATGGGCATTATTTGAATACAGAGAGTGTCACAACAGCCGGAATGAGAATGGAGATGGAGGCAACAACAGCAGCTTGAGAACAATACATCTACATGTTGAATTGTAGCGGTCTCAGAGAACATGCTTGGAAAGGTCGAGGAGACTGGTGTCCTATGGGTAGAATGGCTTGAGAACAATACATCTACATGTTGAATTGTAGTGGTCTCACAGAACATGCTGGGACAAGTAGAGGAGACTGATGTCCTTTGGGTAGTGGCTTGAGAACAATACATCAGCATGTTGAATTGTAGCAGTCTCACAGAACATGCTTGGAAAGGTAGAGGAGACTGATGTCCTTTGGGTAGTGGCTTGCTTTGCTTGTTAAGAATCAGATCAGGAGTGTATTGATGATGTCCAGAACATTCAGGTGTGCAGGGTAGTGAGCAGGCTGCTGTTGCTCTGTGCTGGGAGCTACTTTATGAAGAAGCAAACATGGTGAAGGCTGTCTGGTATCAAGCAGGTGCCAGAACACCTCAGATTTCAGAACTGAGAATGTTTGCACAGACTAATTCAGATGAGGGTGAGCATGGGGGGTTCTGGGAGATATTCAGAACTGAGGAGAACACTTGCAGAGACATGTCGTCAGGTTGCAGCTGGAACTATCAGCATGAGAACTCTTCATTAGCTGCTGAGGAAGGGGACGGAGCACATGTGGGAATGTTCCGAATGCAGTGTTGTCAGTTAGTCATTCTTTCATTCATTCAGATCTTTGTAAATTCCCCAGGTTTTGCTACTTAGCATACGGGGTGCAGCTGTTCTTCAAGATAAGCCCTGATGATGTGGATTACATCCCACTGCCACTGTACCACACAGCCGGTGGGAATCCTGGGAGCTGGACAAGGAGTTCTGGGCGGCACCACTCTGGCTATCAGGGCCAAGTTTTCTGCTAGCCAGTTCTGGTCTGATTGTGTCAAGTATCGTGCCACGGTAAGTTGTCTTGTGTTCTAGTCTGGTCTGATTGTGTCAAGTACCTTGCCACGGTAAGTTGTCTTGTGTTCTAGTCTGGTCTGATTGTGTCAAGTACCTTGCCACGGTAAGTTGTCTGTGTTCTAGTCTGGTCTGATTGTGTCAAGTACCTTGCCACGGTAAGTTGTCTGTGTTCTAGTCTGGTCTGATTGTGTCAAGTACCTTGCCACGGTAAGTTGTCTGTGTTCTAGTCTGGTCTGATTGTGTCAAGTACCTTGCCACGGTAAGTTGTCTGTGTTCTAGTCTGGTCTGATTGTGTCAAGTACCTTGCCACGGTAAGTTGTCTGCCTGACTAAGTGGGGGTGGGGGGGGGGGGGGTGTGTTAAAGAATAGATTTGTTGCCTCCTAACAAGACTGATGCTTAAGTGGATTTATTTAGAGTTTGCTGAAAAGGAGCCAAAAGGCACATGTATCACAGCCTAGCAGTAACCACAACACAGTGTTCCACCCAGTTCTTGTAAAGGCAAGCATATAAGAAGTAAATACCTGACAAGTATTCCCAGCTGTGAGCTGACTGTCAAGTATTATGCCACGATATATTTTTCCAGCTGTGAGCTGACTGTCAAGTATTATACCACGATATGTATTCCCAGCTGTGAGCTGACTGTGAAGTATTATACCACGATATGTATTCCCAGCTGTGAGCCGACTGTCAAGTATTATGCCACCATATGTATTCCCAGCTGAAAGCTGACTGTCAAGTATTATGCCACGATATGTATTCCCAGCTGTGAGCTGACTGTCAAGTATTATACCACAATATGTATTCCCAGCTGTGAGCTGACTGTCAAGTAGTATACCACGATATGTATTCCCAGCTGTGAGCTGACTGTCAAGGATTATGCCACGATATATTTTTCCAGCTGTGAGCTGACTGTCAAGTATTATACCACGATATGTATTCCCAGCTGTGAGCTGACTGTCAAGTAGTATACCACGATATGTATTCCCAGCTGTGAGCTGACTGTCAAGTATTATGCCACGATATGTATTCCCAGCTGTGAGCCGACTGTCAAGTATTATGCCACGATATGTATTCCCAGCTGTGAGCTGACTGTCAGTTATTATGCCACGATATGTATTCCCAGCTGTAAGCTGACTGTCAAGTATTCTGTCCTGACACGTATTCCAAACTTTGAGCTGACTGTCAAGTATTATGCCATGATATGTATTCTCAGCTGTGAGCTGAGTATGTCAAGTATTCTACCCTGACAAGTATTCCTAGCTGTGAGCCGACTATGTCAGGTATTATGTCAGGTATTCCCAACTTTGAGCTGACTGTCAAGTATTCTGCAAGTATTATGCCACGATATATTTTTCCAGCTGTGAGCTGACTGTCAAGTATTATACCACGATATGTATTCCCAGCTGTGAGCTGACTGTCAGTATTATGCCACGATATGTATTCCCAGCTGTGAGCCGACTGTCAAGTATTATGCCACGATATGTATTCCCAGCTGTGAGCTGCTGACTGTCAGTTTATTATGCCACGATATGTATTCCCAGCTGTAAAGCTGACTGTCAAGTATTCTGTCCTGACACGTATTCCAAACTTTGAGCTGACTGTCAAGTATTATGCCATGATATGTATTCTCAGCTGTGAGCTGAGTATGTCAAGTATTCTACCCTGACAAGTATTCCTAGCTGTGAGCCGACTATGTCAGGTATTATGTCAGGTATTCCCAACTTTGAGCTGACTGTCAAGTATTCTGCAAGTATTATGCCACGATATATTTTTCCAGCTGTGAGCTGACTGTCAAGTATTATACCACGATATGTATTCCCAGCTGTGAGCTGACTGTCAAGTATTATGCCACGATATGTATTCCCAGCTGTGAGCCGACTGTCAAGTATTATGCCACGATATGTATTCCCAGCTGTGAGCTGACTGTCAGTTATTATGCCACGATATGTATTCCCAGCTGTAAGCTGACTGTCAAGTATTCTGTCCTGACACGTATTCCAAACTTTGAGCTGACTGTCAAGTATTATGCCATGATATGTATTCTCAGCTGTGAGCTGAGTATGTCAAGTATTCTACCCTGACAAGTATTCCTAGCTGTGAGCCGACTATGTCAGGTATTATGTCAGGTATTCCCAACTTTGAGCTGACTGTCAAGTATTCTGCCTCGACAAGTATTCCTAGCTGTGAGCTGAGTATGTCAAGTGTAATGCCACGATGTCCCCAGCTGTATTCCCAGCTGTGAGCTGGGTATGTCAAGTATAATGCCATAGTTATCCCCTGTATGTGTGCTCTTGTGTGAACAGATTGCCCAGTATATTGGAGAGATCTGCCGCTACCTCCTGGCTCAGCCTGTCAGACCTGAGGAGTCGCAGCACACAGTTCGGCTCATGTTTGGCAACGGGGTCAAACCACAAATATGGAAGCAGTTCCAAGAGAGGTTTGGGGTCAAGCTTATCGGAGAGTTCTATGGGGCAACAGAAGGCAATTGTGCTATAGGTAATGTCTGTTTTCTGTTGTGTCCCAGGAATGGGATCAGTGAGGGGTAAATGTCTGTTGTATGTTGTGTCCCAGGAATGGGATCAGTGAGGGGTAAATGTCTGTTGTGTCCCAGGAATGGGATCAATGAGATGTTAATATCTGTTGTATGTTGTGTCCCAGGAATGGGATCAATGAGATGTTAATGTCTGTTGTATGTTGTGTTCCAGGAATGGGATCAGTGAGGGGTAAATGTCTGTTGTATGTTGTGTCCCAGGAATGAGATCAATGAGGGGTTAATGTCTGTTGTATGTTGTGTCCCAGGAATGGGATCAGTGAGGGGTAAATGTCTGTTGTATGTTGTGTCCCAGGAATGGGATCAATGAGGGGTTAATGTCTGTTGTATGTTGTGTCCCAGGAATGGGATTAGTGAGGGGTTAATTTCTGTTGTATGTTGTGTCTCAGGAATGGGATCAATGAGGGGTAAATGTCTGTTGTGTCCCAGGAATGGGATCAATGAGGGGTTAATGTCTGTTGTATGTTGTGTCCCAGGAATGGGATTAGTGAGGGGTTAATTTCTGTTGTATGTTGTGTCCCAGGAATGGGATTAGTGAGGGGTTAATTTCTGTTGTATGTTGTGTCTCAGGAATGGGATCAATGAGGGGTAAATGTCTGTTGTGTCTCAGGAGCGGGATGAGTGAGGGGTTAATGTCTGTTGTCTGTTGTGTCCTAGGAATGGGATCAATGAGGGGTTAATGTCTGTTGTATGTTGTGTCTCAGGAATGGGATTAGTGAGGGGTTAATTTCTGTTGTATGTTGTGTCTCAGGAATGGGATCAATGAGGGGTTAATGTCTGTTGTGTCTCAGGAGCGGGATCAGTGAGGGCTTAATGTCTGTTGTCTGTTGTGTCCTAGGAGTGGGATTAATGAGGGGTTAATGGCAAGTTAAGGAAAATTCTTGAGGTTGTAACATATAGAAATAGTTGGAGCTGGTGAGGATTTGACCAACATTGTGCTACCAGTGTCAAGCATGACCCTAACTAAAACTAATAAATGCAAAGTTTTAAAAACAAAGATGTGATATCTTGGAAGAAGTTGCCTGTGTGACAAGACAAGATGTGATATCTTGGAAGAGTTGCCTGTGTGACAAGACAAGATGTGATATCTTGGAAGAGTTGCCTGTGTGACAAGACAAGATGTGATATCTTGAAAGAGTTGTCTGTGTGACAAGACAAGATGTGATATCTTGAAAGAGTTGTCTGTGTGACAAGACAAGATGTGATATCTTGGAGGAGTTGCCCTTGTGACAAGACAAGATGTGATATCTTGGAGGAGTTGCCTGTGTGACGAGACAAGATGTGATATCTTGGAGGAGTTGCCTGTGTGACGAGACAAGATGTGATATCTTGGAGGAGTTGCCTGTGTGACGAGACAAGATGTGATATCTTGGAGGAGTTGCCCTTGTGACAAGACAAGATGTGATATCTTGGAGGAGTTGCCTGTGTGACAAGACAAGATGTGATATCTTGGAGGAGTTGCCTGTGTGACGAGACAAGATGTGATATCTTGAAAGAGTTGCCCTTGTGACAAGACAAGATGTGATATCTTGAAAGAGTTGCCCTTGTGACAAGACAAGAAATGATATCTTGAAAGAGTTGCCCTTGTGACAAGACAAGATGTGATATCTTGGAGGAGTTGCCTGTGTGACAAGACAAGATGTGATATCTTAGAAGAGTTGCCTTGTTACAAGACAAGATGTGATATCTTGGAAGAGTTGCCTGTGTGACAAGACAAGAAACTATTAGAAGGATTTACGACTGAAGCCAGCCATACAGTTTATCACAGAGCCACACTTGTGATTGTGTCCTTGTACACGCTTCACTGCTGGAGAAATACAATGGACACAGATCAAGGGGAAGAACACACAAATTATGTAATGATGAAATCAAAAACAGCCTCACATAAACGAAGAGCAGATTATACAACACATTAGAAGGATCACCAGAAGATCCTTACACCCCCCATCCCCAAGCACATTATTGGGCACTAGCTAGACTTTAGCACATTAATGGGCACTAGTGAGGTTTTAGCACATTAACGGGCACTAGCTAGACTTTAGCATATTAATGGGCACTAGTGAGGTTTTAGCACGTTAATAGGCACTAGTGTGGTTTTAGCACGATTAATAGGCACTAGTGAGGTTTTAGCACGTTAATAGGCACTAGTGTGGTTTTAGAACATGGGCACTGCTGAAGCTTTAGCACATTAATATAATTTAGTTATGTTATAGCATATTAATGGCAACTAGCAATGTTTGAGCACATTGATGGGACCTGGTGAAGTTTCAGCACATTGATGGGACCTGGTGAAGTTTCAGCAAATGCATAGTGTTGTTCTGGTGGTACTTTACAGTATGCAGAAAATGAAATCCTTATGATGTCTGATGCTGAAGACATTTATGATGATGTCAATAAACTTATATGTTCGAATTTTCTGGATCATGATTGAAATGATAACAGATGCATATTATTGTTTCACAGTGAACTTTGAAAACCGGGTTGGAGCTGTTGGCTTTGGGACTCGCATTGCCCCATTTCTCTACCCGATCACTTTGGTGAAAGTCGACCCAGAGACCAATGAGGTTCTTCGTGACAAAAATGGAGTTTGTATCAAGGCTGAGCCAGGCAAGGGGGTTTATTTCTCTCTTCTCGTCATGGTTTACATTCGTTCAGTTGTGCCATCAAATGTCTTCAATACAAGTTGTCATAAATGTGTCCTGTGTGGGGCCTCTGTCCTTTTCAAGTTGACTTTTGTTCCATTACTTCCTTGCTGTTTTAACATCTCTCCTTAATTCTTTATCTTCTTTGACCTACTTATTCTTTCTTGCCCTTGACTTTTGACCTGTGTTTTATCAGTTAATTGTTATCTGTCTTCTTTTATTTCTTTATCTGTAGTTTCCCGACCTTCACCTTTGTTCAACATCAGAATGTGTGGAACATGATGAGAGGCTTGTTGTTCAACATCAGAATGTGTGGAACATGATGAGAGGCTTGTTGTTCAACATCAGAATGTGTGGAACATGATGAGAGGCTTGTTGTTCAACATCAGAATGTGTGGAACATGATGAGAGGCTTGTTGTTCAACATCAGAATGTGTGGAACATGATGAGAGGCTTGTTGTTCAACATCAGAATGTGTGGAACATGATGAGAGCTTTTTGTTCTGCATTGACTTCACTTACTTGAAATATTGTATGACAAACAACAAGCAGCTGTCAGAATAGCTGGTGAAGTGTTGCACTTCACACCAGAGTGAACCAAATACACAAGAACGTCTCAGTGTCCTTACTTCCTGTGTGGCTCTGGGGCCCTATAGTGTGGGTGAAAAGTGGGGGGGGGGGGGGGCTTGACCTACTGTCTCTCTAACAGTGTAGGAGATGACTAATTAGGGCTGTTTCCATTGTAGTCACTGCATCTGCCTGAGAAGCAAGCAACAAACAGTCTGCATACAAAGAGGCTAGATCTGTAAAACTGATATGCACACAAAACCTAAAATCTAGAGTAAGAACTTTCTGTCACAGTTTACAGCTATGTGAACACCAGGAAGAAGAAATCGTGTCTCTGTAACAAAATGGTGTTATCTTGAACCTGAGTTTGCCCTGTGGACACAGGCAGTTACTTGTGAATGAGTCCATTTTATGTTTCACTGACAAGAATTCACTTATTTGCTTAATTTTATTTAATCAGTTGTTCTTGTAGTCAGCCCCTGACGAGATACAGCCAAATATGCCAGGCAGTAAATTGTGCAATCTGTTGTTTGTGTCTTCTTTGTTCACGTATTCTTCTATTATTTGATTTTGTTCTGTTTCACATTTGATCTATTTTTTGATTGGTTAATGTCTGTCTCCTGTTTTGTTGTTGTTGTTGCTAGTCCGTTTTTCATTAATGAACTCCACCTGTATTTCTGTGATTTTTCGCTGTCATTGTCTCCCAGAGCCTATTTCTCCTCAATTATATCTTCCTAGTATTATATCATTGCTCTCTGTTGTGTCTTTCTCCTTATACCTCCTGTGTTTTTCCTGTCTCATTCTCTCTGCCTCTGATTCCACTGTTCATTTATCGTCTGTCTGTCCACACACAGGTGAGCCAGGAGAGCTGGTGGGCAAAATTGTCAAAGGCAATCCGGTGCGTGAATTTGATGGATATGTGGATGACAAGTCCACCAGCAAGAAAGTCATCTCCGATGTGTTTACCAAGGGAGACATGGCCTTCTCCACAGGTTTGTGGCTTGTCCCTGATTTCTTTCTTGCAGCTGGGAATATCACTGATATCTCCACCTGGGCAGGTGATTTGTGTGTCGTGCCTGTGTATGGTAACATGTGTCATTGACATCTACTGGCAGCTTCTTCGTCAATCCTTTTGTCAGAAAGTTTATATCAGGAGGCCGGTAGCCTTGATGACAGCTGTCATACAGTCTAAATTCCCTGTGTACCATACAGCTTACTGTACTTTCTCACCAAAATCCAAACATTACCTTAGACAGACAGAAACAAAACAAGTTAGTCCTTGAAGAAGACAAAGATAGACAGAAACAAAACAAGATAGTCCTTGAAGGAGAAGATAGACAGAAACAAAACAAGATAATCCTTGAAGGAGAAGATAGACAGAAACAAAACAAGATAGTCCTTGAAGAAGACAAAAATAGACAGAAACAAAACAAGATAGTCCTTGAAGGAGAAGATAGACAGAAACAAAACAAGATAATCCTTTAAGGAGAAGATAGACAGAAACAAAACAAGATAGTCCTTGAAGAAGAAGATAGAAACAAAACAAGGTGGTCCTTGAAGAAGACAAAGATAGACAGAAACAAAACAAGATAGTCCTTGAAGGAGAAGATAGACAGAAACAAAACAAGATAATCCTTGAAGGAGAAGATAGACAGAAACAAAACAAGATAATCCTTGAAGGAGAAGATAGACAGAAACAAAACAAGATAGTCCTTGAAGAAGACAAAGATAGACAGAAACAAAACAAGATAGTCCTTGAAAAACAAGATAGATAGAAACAAAACAAGATAGTCCTTGAAGGAAAAGAAGATAGACAGAAACAAAACCAGGTAGTCCTTGAAGGAGAAGAAAATAGACAGAAACAAAACCAGGTATTCCTTGAAGGAGAAGAAGATAGACAGAAACAAAACCAGGTAGTCCTTGAAGAAGAAGATAGACAGAAACAAAACCAGGTGGTCCTTGAAGGAGAAGATAGACAGAAACAAAATGAGGTAGTCCTTGAAGGAGAAGAAGATAGACAGAAACAAAACCAGGTAGTCCTTGAAGGAGAAGATAGACAGAAACAAAACAAGATAGTCCTTGAAGAAGAAGATAGACAGAAACAAAACAAGATAGTCCTTGAAGAAGAAGATTGACAGAAACAAAACAAGATAGTCCTTGAAGAAGAGGAAGATAGACAGAAACAAAACAAGATAGTCCTTGAAGAAGTGGAAGATAGACAGGAACAAAACAAGATAGTCCTTGAAGAAGTGGAAGATAGATAGAAACAAAACAAGATAGTCCTTGAAGAAGTGGAAGATAGATAGAAACAAAACAAGATAGTCCTTGAAGAAGAGGAAGATAGACAGAAACAAAACAAGGTGGTCCTTGAAGAAGAGGAAGATAGACAGAAACAAAACAAGGTGGTCCTTGAAAAAGAAAAAGATAGACAAAATGTGGAGACAAAATTTGGTGTCAAGATTGTTTGGTTGTTTTCTGAAGAGAACAAGACTTCTCGCAGTCTTGATGGAGCATTGCAAAGGCAAGACACAGATAAATACCTGGATAGCTTGGCCACATGTCGTGGGCGGGACAAGAGCACAGACTTGATCTAATGTTAGTAATCATGTGGGTTGGTGACCACACATGCATGCTGGCATCACACTTTGCGACAATGAATTTTAGGAAGCAGTTGTTAGTTTAAGTTTCTTTATTGTTAAAGAAATTAAACTCATGAAAAATTTTATACATAAGAAAATTGTGTTCAGTGAAGGGATGGATGAAAAGAAAACATAAGAAAGCCAGTGGGGGGGGGGGGGAGAACAGAAATAGAGAGAGAGAGAGAGAGAGCGAGCGAGCGAGGAGGTCTGACCTGATGTTGCGATGTTGCTTGCCTCCATACAGGAGACATCCTTATCATGGATGAGCTGGGCTATATGTACTTCCGTGACCGGACGGGGGACACGTTCCGCTGGCGTGGGGAGAATGTCAGCACCAACGAGGTGGAGGCCGTCATCAGCAACTCCATCCAGCTTCAGGACGCTGTGGTTTACGGTGTTGAGGTCCCAGGTGAGTTGTCTGTCAACTTGTGCTTTCAGGTGTGTTGTGTAGAAGGTGTGCAGGTTGCAGGTGAGTTGTCTGTCAACTTGTGCTTTCAGGTGTGTTGTGTAGAAGGTGTGCAGCTTGCAGGTGAGTTGTCTGTCAACTTGTGCTTTCAGGTGTGTTGTGTAGAAGGTGTGCAGGTTGCAGGTGAGTTGTCTGTCAACTTGTGCTTTCAGGTGTGTTGTGTAGAAGGTGTGCAAGTCCCAGGTGAGTTGTCTCTATAAACTGCTGCTTCCAGATGTGTTGTGCGGAAAGGGCAGGTGTGTTTGTCAGAAGTTGCAGGTGTTGTGTATTGTAAGGAGGTTCCAGACATGTTGTATGTTCCTTGTAAGTTCCTGTTGTTTTAACGGTTGTATTGTATAGTATGTAAATTCCTTGTGTATTGTCCACAGTTAAGAAAAAATAAATATGTGTGTATTTTGTGCCTATGAAATCTTTTATAATGTGGTAGAATTCACCCCCCACCCCCTCCCTTTTAAACAATCAATGGATATAAGCAGGGCAGAGATATGAAGTAGGAAAGAGGAAACAACTTGAACATGTTAGGTAAGCAGGCAAGGAGTGAGAGAACATGTTAGGTAAGCAGGCAAGGAGTGAGAGAACATGTTAGGTAAGCAGGCAAGGAGTGAGAGAACATGTTAGGTAAGCAGGCAAGGAGTGAGAGAACATGTTAGGTAAGCAGGCAAGGAGTGAGAGAACATGTGGCTAACATGATATTGTCATTGAGTGATTGTATTTCTCTCCTTTACCAGGCAACGAGGGCAGGGCAGGCATGGCAGCCATTGTGGATGACAGCAGCTCCGTAGATGTGACCCAACTGGGAGCTTCTTTAGCCAGGTCATTGCCGGCCTACGCTCGACCCTTATTTCTTCGCTTTGTTAAAGAGGCAGACACAACTGGTAAGATATGAGAGAGAGAGAGAGAATCAATGCAAGTGACTGGTTGCTTGTCACTCTGACCTGTCTGTCATTTCAAAAACATTTTCATGTTATGTGCTTTATGTCTAGACTGGGATATAGAGAACTCTAGCTGTAGCTCTGCGGACTTAGTTCCTTGTCACTGTTGATTTCTACATGTGGAGAAAATATTTTAGGCTAACATTGACACTGGCAGCTCAGTCCTTATGTCAGCGGGACCTTGGAGTTGAGGTTGGTCCATGAGGATGTTGGCTGACATTGCAAGAATTGCAATCCCTCATTGACACAGTTGTCAAGTTCTAGTACAGTTCATAGACACCTTGAAGGTTTCTCGATTTGGAGAAGGGAAGTAGCTCAGCAGCACAGATCGTGTAGAGAGAAAACTACAGTAGCTGATCAGGACAAGTCTGTCTCTGTGTCAGTCTCACTCAGATTTATGTCAGATTTCAGTTGTTCTGATGTCAGTGTTTGGTTCCAGGAATAGAGTTCATAATTCCCAAGTTCACTGATTGTATACTGTCTTTATTTGTTTCTGTTGAGTTGATTATGTTTTATTGTGTGACATAATTATGTTTGATTGTTTGGGGTGATTTATGTAATGGTTGTTCACGTGTTACTATTTGCTGCAATTTATGAAACAATGACTGTTGTGGACTTAGTTCAGTAACTTCTTGCTTACTTCTGTGTTGTTGTTTGAGCACAGAGCAGGCAGTTTGTAAGATCTCCTCCTCATCATCACCAGTTTGTGCCATTTATACGTCAGTCACACAGGACTCACACTAAACTCCTGCATTCTCTGTAACAACAGTTGCTCATCTGTTCACTTGTGTGCTCACATCTTGATGATTCTGTTCACTTGTGTGTTCACATCTTGATGATTCTGTCACTTGTGTGTTCACATGTTGATGATTCTGTAGTATCTAAAATTATAATGCGATTATCGCTGAGTTTTTAATTTAAATATGTTAAATGTTGATTATTTCTAACCTGGTGGATGTAGCTGTTGCTGTACTTATGTTGCAGGCACTTTCAAGTTAAAGAAGAACAAACTACGAGATGAAGGCTTTGACATTTCTGTGGTGCAAGATCCCATCTTCTACCTCAACCCCAGCAGCAAACAGTACGAACCACTGACTGCCCAAGTTTACAAGGATATAGTCAGTGGCCGCATTAGATTGTGATTTTTGAAAACTGCATTTATTTGTACATTTTATCAACAGGTACTTTCAATGATGTTTGATTCTTTGTAGGTACTCTTCTGCCAGGTGTTCTTATACATGTCTTTCTCACTCTGGCAGTTGTTTTGAACAGGTTTGTGTGGGTTTTTTTGGTAGCAAAAAAAAAAGTTGATCAGGGCACAGGCACTTGGAAGCAGTTATCCATAACTAAATGTATGGGGGAACTATCATATCACCATAGCAACATCTTCTTCTGTGCTTTATCCCCCCCCCCCACAGAGCATAGGCATCCAACCAAGTCATCTTATCCTGAAACAGCACTTGCAGCTCAACCCAGGCTCTCCCTATCTCTCTTTTTTCTCTCTGTCTCTGTTTTTGTCTCTCTCATTCTTAATTTTTTTTCCCTCTGTTTCTCTGCTTTTCTCTCACTGTTTCTGTCTGTTTTCTCCCTGTCTCTGTTTTTCTGTCTGTTTCTCTCTTTCTCCCTGCCTGTCTTACACCTAAACATGCTGAAGTTATTGAACCAGTGATTGACTGTAATTAATGGACTGTTGTCCCAAATGCCTATAAATGTATTTTGTTGTTGCTGTTAGAAATGAATCAACAGAGAAACTTCAGGAAAATCTAGATATGTACACACAAAGTGTAAACTCAAGTACTATCGAGTGTACAAGCAAACCAGAAAACACCTGAGACAGTGAATGATATATATATATATATATATTCCTGTCTGTTCACTCCCCCTGGCTTTCAGTTTTAGTTTATTTTGTAATTTTTTGTTCTGAAATATTTGGATGACTCATTGTGACATTTATGTTTTCCATGTTTTGTTAAAAAAAAAAATGGCTTGAAGGATTGCTTGTCTGAAACAAGGACACTGTTGGTAGCTTTGATGTCTACTAGACCCCTCTCCCCAATATTTTTGCAGTCATGTTTTCTATTTACTCAATGTTGGTGTCAGCTAAAGGCAGTCGCGCTTCATTTCTGCTACATCATGTCACTGACTGTGGGTGCATGAGCATACTTGTATTGATGTGGGACGATGTGAACATAGTTGTTTCTTGTGTATGTGGGACGATGTGAACATAGTTGTTTCTTGTGTATGTGGGACGATGTGAACATAGTTGTTTCTTGTGTATGTGGGAGACGATGTGAACATAGTTGTTTCTTGTGTATGTGGGAGACGATGTGAACATAGTTGTTTCTTGTGTATGTGGGACGATGTGAACATAGTTGTTTCTTGAGTATGTGGGAGACGATGTGAACATAGTTGTTTCTTGTGTATGTGGGACGATGTGAACATAGTTGTTTCTTGTGTATGTGGGAGACGATGTGAACATAGTTGTTTCTTGTGTATGTGGGAGACGATGTGAACATAGTTGTTTTCTTGTGTATGTGGGACGATGTGAACATAGTTGTTTCTTGAGTATGTGGGAGACGATGTGAACATAGTTGTTTCTTGTGTATGTGGGACGATGTGAACATAGTTGTTTCTTGTGTATGTGGGAGACGATGTGAACATAGTTGTTTCTTGTGTATGTGGGAGACGATGTGAACATAGTTGTTCCTTGTGTATGTGGGAGACGATGTGAACATAGTTGTTTCTTGTGTATGTGGGAGACGATGTGAACATAGTTGTTTCTTGTGTATGTGGGACGATGTGAACATAGTTGTTTCTTGAGTATGTGGGAAGATGTGAACATAGTTGTTTCTTGAGTATGTGGGAAGATGTGAACATAGTTGTTTCTTGTGTATGTGGGACGATGTGAACATAGTTGTTTCTTGAGTATGTGGGACGATGTGAACATAGTTGTTTCTTGTGTATGTGGGAAGATGTGAACATAGTTGTTTCTTGTGTATGTGGGACGATGTGAACATAGTTGTTTCTTGAGTATGTGGGAAGATGTGAACATAGTTGTTTCTTGTGTATGTGGGAGACGATGTGAACATAGTTGTTTCTTGTGTATGTGGGAGACGATGTGAACATAGTTGTTTCTTGTGTATGTGGGAGACGATGTGAACATAGTTGTTTCTTGTGTATGTGGGACGATGTGAACATAGTTGTTTCTTGAGTATGTGGGAAGATGTGAACATAGTTGTTTCTTGTGTATGTGGGAGACGATGTGAACATAGTTGTTTCTTGTGTATGTGGGAAGATGTGAACATAGTTGTTCCTTGTGTATGTGGGAGACGATGTGAACATAGTTGTTTCTTGTGTATGTGGGATGATGTGAAGGGTGTTCCTTGTGTATGTGAGAACTTGTGTAAATTATTCCTTTTTTGTGTGTGGGAATATGTAGTTCCTTTTGGGAACACAGATTGTAGCCTGTGTTTAGCAGAATGTTAAGCAACGACTTGAGGCAGCACATCTTTCTGTGGACTGGATTATGAAACATGAAACTGTCGATTGTTATGGAGCCAGGAAGCTGTGGAAAATAGTGTTCCTTTTGATACCAGGATAATGGGTGGCCAACTCTCTGAGGCCATGTGTCCGCAGCTCTCTGAGGCCATGTGTCCGCAGCTCTCTGAGGCCATGTGTCCGCAACTCTCTGAGGCCATCCATGTGTCTGCAACTCTGCAACTCTCTCAGACCATTTGTCCACAATTCTCTGAGGCCATGTGTCTGCAACTCTCTCAGACCATGTGTCCACAACTCTCTGAGGCCATGTGTCTGCAACTCTCTCAGACCATGTGTCTGCAACTCTCTCAGACCATGTGTCCACAACTCTCTGAGGCCATGTGTCTGCAACTCTCTGAGGCCATGTGTCTGCAACTCTCTCAGACCATGTGTCCACAACTCTCAGAGATCAATGATGTGTCAGCATGTATATCAACCAATGCGCATAGTGTCAAAAGCTACAGTTGCTTGCCCACCTCACAAGTGATCAGATTCTCCTGACTAGTGGAGCTCTGGGCTCCATCCAGTCTCACTAAAATGAAGACCAGACCATTTCTGGCATTGTCAGGGAAGAAAGGGGGTGGGGGGAAGAGGAAGCCAGCCACCCTACTACCTCAGATGTTATGGTATCTACCATCAGGCATTAAAACATATTTTATAGACAGGAATCCTGGCTGGTGGTGCAGAGTTCATCCGCTGATAGTTTCCTTGTGTGGGGCGTGGGCAAGTCAAGCCAAGAAGACAAATGGCAGAACTTCACACAGCCTGAAACTTTTGCTGGAAGAGACTTGAGTGCACATCTCCGCAGTAACGACATGTATCCACAATAACAACTAGAATGTGGCATTAGTAGTGTATATTTAGATTGTCTTTTGTGAGACAAGCATGTTTGACACACTTCAACAGTTTACAGCTCATTTTCTAAACATCAAACAGACATTTTTTTTATTTTAGAGGAATTTGTGGGAAAACGACAACCCTTATTTAGAATTTCTTTGAACAGATCAATCAACATGGTACACGAGTAGTAACCATTCTTCTTCTAAGTCTGAGTCCGAAGAAGCTCAGCACAGTGCACAAGCTCTAGCTCTGGTGAGGATCCTGAAATACTTTGATTAGATTTTTTGCCCGGGAAGCGCCGTCAGGCTACTCTTTTCGATTTCCAACTGCCAAGGGATTTTTTATGTGCGCAACAATACACACGGGCGTCCAATTTCACTACCCAGAGACCAGGGGGGACCAGAAGTCCAAGACCACGTGAAAAAAATCCCAGCCCTTACCGGAGATTGAACTCGGAACCTCTAGCACACGAGGCAGACACCATGCCCCAGGACCATGCAGCCACCCCTCACTGGCTTTATAAAAAGACAAATAATCTTTTGACAGGAAACAGCTTACACAGAAGATTCCTGGAATATGCTGCTGGTATACCAACAGCTTACACAGAAGATTCCTGGAATACCAACAGCTTACACAGAAGATTCCTGGAATACCAACAGCTTACACAGAAGATTCCTGGAATATGCTGCTGGTATACCAACAGCTTACACAGAAGATTCCTGGAATATGCTGCTGGTATACCAACAGCTTGCACAGAAGATTCCTGGAATACCCTGCTGGTATACCAACAGCTTACACAGAAGATTCCTGGAATACCCTGCTGGTATACCAACAGCTTACACAGAAGATTCCTGGAATATGCTGCTGGTATACCAACCAGTACAGATAAAAAATAATAAACAGGATCAAGCTGATAATTAATTAGCAGTTACTGTGACTACAACCCACTGAGAACTGTCAGCATGTCTGTGACTTCACTGTCTTGCCATCATCCTCCATGTGCATTTTATATATAGTATGTACGGATTGCCTGTTTGTTTTAGTCATCTGTGTGTGTGTGTGTGTGTGTGTAAAAAAAAGAGTTGATCAGAACACTGTTTGTGAGAGTGAGAAAAGAGTTGATCAGAACACTGTTTGTGAGAGTGAGAAAAGAGTTGATCAGAACACTGTTTGTGAGAGTGAGAAAAGAGTTGATCAGAACACTGTTTGTGAGAGTGAGAAAAGAGTTGATCAGAACACTGTTTGTGAGAGTGAGAAAAGAGTTCATCAGAAAGAACACTGTGTGAGAGTGTTGATGAACACTGTTTGTGAGAGTGAGAAAAGAGTTCATCAGAAAGAACACTGTTTGTGAGAGTGAGAAAAGAGTTGATCAGAACACTGTTTGTGAGAGTGAGAAAAGAGTTCATCAGAAAGAACACTGTTTGTGAGAGTGAGAAAAATTTAGATTGGTTGTCCAAACATCTTGAGAATCAAGGGACCAATGAGAATCTTCACTGCAAGAATCAAACCTGAGACTGTTGTGGCAGCAGGCTCACATGCACTGGTTGAGATGAGCCAACTGTGGCCTGACAGCAGCTGGTGTTGTGTAGCCTACCAACAGATGGCAGCCAAGAAGGGAAAACAGAAACTGTTCACCACATCCCTCACAGCAATGATCTGTTTAGACACGTGCAGCCACTACCAGGGTCTTGAAGCATTTCTGTTGTATGTTTATCTACTTGAACAAATTATTGTTGACATCGGTCATTGTACAGGCTCATAAACTGTTTTTACACAAAAAATAAACGGATGCCTTCATTTATGCTTGGTTGTGAGTTATGAGTTAGATTATCTTTACAGCACTCTGGACACATTCATAGGCGCACAGATTCCCCTCTCAACATATTCATCAGCGTCGTGCAGTTTATAGTACCAGTCCCATGTTGGTTAACAAGACTTCATGTGCGTCCAGTGTGCTTCTCATGCTTGGCTGTGCCGATCTTTTCTCAGTTCACGTATTCTTAGCAGTGATGTGAACACGTTGCTTTCAAAATCCTCATAATGTCCTATCTCACTGAGGGCAATGACAATGTCTGCGTGATCCATGGGCAGCCATCTTCAATTAATGCAGTGCCTTCCAGTCTATCAGCTCTCTCATTACCAAACAACGCCTGCTAATCCCTGGGGTGAATATGAAAGTAACTGCACACACAGGAGAATTTTGCAATGACCCAAGCCACTGTCTGCGTAACCAGCCTGCCTCGACCCGCCGGATCATGCTCAAAGAATCACTCAGCACACACACGCGGGAGTAGCCCTGTGATCTCAGCCACATGAAAGCCTGTGCCACCACCATCACCTCCATCGTCATGCTACTGGTGGTCATGGAGAAGGCACCGCTGGCTTCCTGAACTGTTCTGCGTGAAGAGCGAGCTGTAAATGCCCATGCACTCTTATGACCTTGTATAACGGACCCGTCTGTGAAGATCACCACATCTGTCTCATCTGACTTGTCAGTGATAAGCGCGCAAACCTCGGCATTGACAGCAGCTGGGTTCTGCTCCTGACAACTCCTATCGAGCGTCACGACACAGGAGAATGTGAGATTGGGGGCTTTAGACGCTGGTATCCACTCCTCACCTGGATGGATGTCTGTAAGGCTACAAACCTGTATAATGTCATCCTCTGCCCTACCCAGCCAGGATTTGCCCCTTTTAAGCCTATTGCCCTTTGTCTTGAAGAGCATGTGGTGCAAAGGAGTGTGTGTGTGTGTGTGTGTGTGTGTGGGGGGGGGGGGGTGTTGTCTCATCTATATAACAAGCTAGTTTCATCCCTAAGTTTGTGTGTGATCCGAGCAAACTGATGACTATGTGACGCAGGACTGTTTGCCTCAGAGCTGACTCCAGACAGATATACTGGCTCACTGCTTCAACATTCATTCATCAAGAGCATATGGGTGACTAACGATGAACTAAAATCAAAGCTGAGTCTAAACACTGAGTACAGTTACAACATGCAGTAATAAAATATAAAAGTTATCACAGGAGATAATCCTGGAACAATTCTTTCCTGACTATAACAGTTTTATGAATTATAACAATGAATTCTATGAAGTGAAACTCTGGCATGCCATTATTACTCTTGCTTGATTATAATGAATTAAATTATTCACATGAGACAAACAGATTATCACAGACTGATTTATCGACACAGTGTGAATGATAAATGTTCACACCAGGAATGCCCAGCTCGTGCGTGTGTGCGTGCGTGCGTGCGTGCGTGCGTGCGTGCGTGCGTGCGTGCGTGCGTGCGTGCGTGCGTGTGCGTGCGTGCGTGTGTGCGTGCGTGCGTGCGTGCGTGCGTGCGTGCGTGCGTGCGTGCGTGCGTGCGTGTGTGCGTGCGTGCGTGCGTGCGTGCGTGCGTGCGTGCGTGCGTGCGTGCGTGCGTGCGTGCGTGCGTGCGTGCGTGCGTGCGTGCGTGCGTGCGTGCGTGCGTGCGTGCGTGCGTGCGTGCGTGCGTGCGTGCGTGCGTGCGTGCGTGCGTGTGTGTGCGTGCGTGCGTGCGTGCATGTGCGTGCGTGTGTGTGCGTGCGTGCGTGCGTGCGTGCGTGCGTGCGTGCGTGCGTGCGTGTGTGTGTGTGTGTGTGTGTGTGTGTGTGTGTGTGTGTGTGTGTGTGTGTGTGTGTGTGTGTGTGTGTGTGTGTGTGTGTGTGTGTGTGTGTGTGTGTGTGTGTGTGTGTGTGTGTGTGTGTGTGTGTGTGTGTGTGTGTGTGTGTGTGTGTGTGTGTGTGTGTGTGTGTGTGTGTGTGTGCGCGCGCCCCTAAACACTTTACTCTCCAATTGTTGCTCAAGGTTTGAACTTGATGCAATCCTGCAGGGCCCCTCCACAAAGGCTCTATCCCTTCACCAGTGACAATCACAGAAATGTCAATTCCAGTTCTTTTTAAGAACTAGTTTAAAAACCAGATCAAGTCCAGCAAGTCCAGTTCACTTGTGATGGAAGCAGCCACTCATTTGTACATGCAACCAGTCTAGACATAACTAGCCACCTGCCACCTTTAGTGCAGTTCCCAACACAAATGGGCACACACACACACAAAAACACATTGAATATGCTATCCACAGCAGACAATGTCCTAGCAAGTTTTCAGCTCAGCAGTGGGACAACATCATCTGTGGACTTCAGGTGCAGAAACTGGGACATGAAACCAGCAAACCATGACCAGAAGCAACCAACACTTCCAGCCTTCAGTAGTCTATCCACAGTGGACAGGAAGTTCAACGGCATTTCCACCATTTTGGATCAGAAGCTAAATTGCCTCTATCCATCATACTTGACAGCAAGTATCTGGCAGCGTCTGTCTCCTAGGGCACCAACCTGACGTGTGCCACTTGAGAAAGATGATGAATCAACATTTGCTCAGTGTCCATCGAATGTGATCTGTTTACACAAGAAAGACAATCCTGCATCAAAAAGTAGCTAACTAACAGACTAGGGGTTAGTGTGTCAGATGTGTCCAACTCAGTGATTACAGTACATTCATTGCATAGATGTCATCATTCATATCAGGCACTTGATGATGGTGGTGAAAACAAAGGGAAAATATAGAAGAATCATTCTCTTGTGTGGCATTTCTCTGAGGGACCAATGATTGATGACAATAAAGCAGACAAGTAGACACTTGTGTGGCATTTCTCTGAGGGACCAATGATTGATGACAATAAAGCAGACAAGTAGACACTTGTGTGGCATTTCTCTGAGGGACCAATGATTGATGACAATAAAGCAGACAAGTAGACACTTGTGTGGCATTTCTCTGAGAGCTGCCAGGAAGGATGATAGAACTGATCACACCAAGGAAACAGCCCTAGTTGCATGATATGTCTGTCCTACCCCCCTCCCCCTTTTCTCTCTCTCACACACACACACGCATGGTTGCACACTATTAGTATATTCATCATTATTTTCTGGGTGAAACATCAGGATTATAGGGCACAGCTGTATGAAAATATGGTACAATTGCATCAAGGAGTTAGGAATACTGGGTACAATTGCATCAAGGAGTGAGGAATACTGGGTACAATTGCATCAAGGAGTGAGAAATACTGGGTACAATTGCATCAAGGAGTGAGAAATACTGGGTACAATTGCATCAAGGAGTGAGGAATACTGGGTACAATTGCATCAAGGAGTGAGGGATACTGGGTACAATTACATCAGGGTCTGAGCAGTACCGAGTACAATTGTGTAAATAACACAATAAATGTGTAAACACTCAAAAAGTCACTGCTACCTTGTGAGAATCTGGCTAAACCCAAAGGCACATCATGTAATATTTCATTCTCTAACTGGCACACATCATGTGATATTTCATTCTCTAACTGGCACACATCATGTAATATTTCATTCTCTACCTGGCACACATCATGTGATATTTCATTCTCTAACTGGCACACATCATGTAATATTTCATTCTCTAACTGGCACACATCATGTGATATTTCATTCTCTAACTGGCACACATCATGTAATATTTCATTCTCTACCTGGCACACATCAAACTGACAAACAGAACATTATGTCCGTCAGCAAATCAGCGCTGCTGTAATGTTCTCCCCAGGTTACTGTCAACTTTCACATTCTTTCATTTCATGTCTTCTTCATCTTCTGATTGGTCCCTGGTTACAGAGATCAACAGCAACAAACTATTGTCAGTCAACACTGACAGTTATCCCATCATCTAGCACTACCAACAGCAACAGAGTATTGTCAGTCAATGCTGACAGTTATCCCATCATCTAGCACTACCAACAGCAACAAACTATTGTCAGTCAACACTGACAGTTATCCCATCATCTAACACTACCAACAGCAACAGACTATTGTCAGTCAATACTGACAGTTATCCCATCATCTAGCACTACCAACAGCAACAAACTATTGTCAGTCAATGCTGACAGTTATCCCATCATCTAACACTACCAACAGCAACAAACTATTGTCAGTCAACACTGACAGTTGTCCCATCATCTAACACTACCAACAGCAACAAACTATTGTCAGTCAACACTGACAGTTATCCCATCATCTAGCACTACCAACAGCAACAAACTATTGTCAGTCAACACTGACAGTTATCCCATCATCTAGCACTACCAACAGCAACAGACTATTGTCAGTCAACACTGACAGTTGTCCCATCATCTAGCACTACCAACAGCAACAAACTATTGTCAGTCAATACTGACAGTTGTCCCATCATCTAACACTACCAACAGCAACAAACTATTGTCAGTCAACACTGACAGTTATCCCATCATCTAGCACTACCAACAGCAACAAACTATTGTCAGTCAACACTGACAGTTATCCCATCATCTAACACTACCAACAGCAACAAACTATTGTCAGTCAACACTGACAGTTGTCCCATCATCTAGCACTACCAACAGCAACAAACTATTGTCAGTCAATGCTGACAGCTGTCCCATCATCTAACACTACCAACAGCAACAAACTATTGTCAGTCAACACTGACAGTTATCCCATCATCTAGCACTACCAACAGCAACAGACTATTGTCAGTCAACGCAGACAGTTATCCCATCATCTAGCACTACCAACAGCAACAGACTATTGTCAGTCAACGCAGACAGTTATCCCATCATCTAGCACTACCAACAGCAACAAACTATTGTCAGTCAATGCTGACAGCTGTCCCATCATCTAGCACTACCAACAGCAACAAACTATTGTCAGTCAATGCTGACAGTTGTCCCATCATCTAACACTACCAACAGCAACAGACTATTGTCAGTCAATACTGACAGTTATCCCATCATCTAGCACTACCAACAGCAACAAACTATTGTCAGTCAATGCTGACAGCTGTCCCATCATCTAGCACTACCAACAGCAACAAACTATTGTCAGTCAACACTGACAGTTATCCCATCATCTAGCACTACCAACAGCAACAGACTATTGTCAGTCAACGCTGACAGCTGTCCCATCATCTAACACTACCAACAGCAACAAACTATTGTCAGTCAATGCTGACAGTTATCCCATCATCTAGCACTACCAACAGCAACAAACTATTGTCAGTCAATGCTGACAGTTATCCCATCATCTAGCACTACCAACAGCAACAAACTATTGTCAGTCAATGCTGACAGCTGTCCCATCATCTAGCACTACCAACAGCAACAAACTATTGTCAGTCAATACTGACAGTTGTCCCATCATCTAGCACTACCAACAGCAACAAACTATTGTCAGTCAACACTGACAGTTATCCCATCATCTAGCACTACCAACAGCAACAAACTATTGTCAGTCAATGCTGACAGTTATCCCATCATCTAGCACTACCAACAGCAACAAACTATTGTCAGTCAATGCTGACAGCTGTCCCATCATCTAGCACTACCAACAGCAACAAACTATTGTCAGTCAATGCTGACAGTTATCCCATCATCTAGCACTACCAACAGCAACAAACTATTGTCAGTCAATGCTGACAGCTGTCCCATCATCTAGCACTACCAACAGCAACAAACTATTGTCAGTCAATACTGACAGTTGTCCCATCATCTAACACTACCAACAGCAACAAACTATTGTCAGTCAATACTGACAGCTGTCCCATCATCTAACACTACCAACAGCAACAGACTATTGTCAGTCAATACTGACAGCTGTCCCATCATCTAGCACTATCAACAGCAACAAACTATTGTCAGTCAATACTGACAGTTGTCCCATCATCTAGCACTACCAACAGATAACTGGAATTTCTGTTCAACAAATCGCTGCCATTAAATAAAGCAACACACACACACACAGTTATCTGAAAGTTTTAACAAGCCCTCACACAATGCAAGCATACAGACAAACACAGAAGTAAAATAATAGCAATCTCCAGTGGTGGACAGGTCAGCTGCTACAAGAAGATGGTCATAAACATTTTAAGACCTGACACTGCCGTCACTGGCAGCTGGACAACAAGACAAGGCTGGCCGTGTGCAGCTGCTGGAACTGGAGACACAAGCAGCAGCTGGTGGGTACTGTTTCCACACACCCAGCAACTGTCCCCTCTGTATCAGACACATATGTACTTCACAGCAAGCCTGTATGATCTGTTGCTACACCTTGTCCTGCCCCAGTGTCCAGCCGTCACTACCTGTTGGTCAGGTTATAATGCACAAGTCTGCTTGCAGCTGAGGCAGTCAATCATGGGGAGGAAGGGAAGCACCCACACCATATCATACAACAATGAGCTAAAACATGAGAACTGCAAACACCTACAGAAAATTCTCACTATGGAAGTACCTGGATTACCTAGTCAGTACAGTGCAGGGCACCCCTTGAAGTGTACTACGTACATGGCATACCTCCATATTTTGTTTTACAGACCTACTGGCAATTAACAGATTTGGTTTTGTTTCACTATCATGCCAGCTGCCTTGTTCCCATAACGTTTCTGGTACCCATGTTAAGCTAGATCAACCTAGAAATCCACTTCTATTTAAAAACAAATGGAAATAAAATGGGACTAGCACCAGGTCCACAAGTCACAGCCAACATGTGTATGTACAACCACAGACTGTGCCCCTGAGGTGGCAGACACTGATGTCTCCTTGCCAGATCATATGTGGGCTGCTGCCTGAAACAAACAACAGAGAACACTCACTACTTGGGGACAAGTACCAAATACAAAGATGGTCAGGCAATGAGACTGTTTCAAGTGGATCCGGTTATTTGATGTAAAAAAAAACAACTGAAAGCATTGGAGATGTTTGTGACACACAGATAACCCCATTATATCTGGACATTCCCATTATATACAAATATTCCCATTATATCTGGACATTCCCATTATATACAGATATTCCCATTATATCTGGACATTCCCCTTATATACAAATATTCCCATTATATCTGGACATTCCCATTATATATATTCCCATTATATTCCCATTATATCTGGACATTCCCATTATATACATATATATATCCATTCCCATTATATCTGGACATTCCCATTATATACAAATATTCCCATTATATCTGGACATTCCCATTATATACAAATATTCCCATTATATCTGGACATTCCCATTATATACAGATATTCCCATTATATCTGGACATTCCCATTATATACAGATATTCCCATTATATCTGGACATTCCCATTATATACAGATATTCCCATTATAGGTCCATTATATACAGATAATCCATTCCCAATATACAAATATTCCCATATATCTGGACATTTTATCCAGATATCCCAATTCTGGACATTCCCCAGATATTGGTTATTACATTATATGGGGATTTCTACATTACATCCAGATATTCCCATTAGGTCCCGATAATCCCATAATATACATATATTATCATTTTATCCAGATATCCCAATTATATCCAGATATTCTTATTACATTTGGGGATTTCTATTACATCCAGATATTCCCATTACATCCAGATATTATCATTATATAAAGATAATCTCACTATATCCAGATATACAGTTACATCAGGATATACCTATTATATACAGATATTCCCATTAGGTCCAGATAGTCCCATTATATACAGCTTTTCCCTTTATATCCAGACATTCCCATTATATCTAGATTCTTATTATATCTAGATATTCCCATTAGGTCCAGATAATCCCATTTTATCTAGATATTCCCACTATAAAAAAGATAATACCATTACATCCAGATATTCCCATTATATCCAGATACCAGATAATCCTATTATATCTAGTTATTACAGTTACATTAGGATATTCCCATTAATCATGTAGCAGGTCCTTTGCAGAACACTGCTCTCATCTCGGTTTACCTGAAAGAAACTCAGTCTCTCATTGTTCTCCTGCCACATGTACTCTCATGTTCAAGGAATCACTTATATCCTGTGCCCATCTTCGTGTTGGTCGGTCCCTGCCCCTTGTTTCTGGTACCATGCCTTCTGCTATTCTGTGGTGCTTGATATGACATAAATATTTCAGCTTCCATATTCCCATATCATCTAAATAATCCCTATGATATCCAGATATCATTATATTCTGATATTCCCATTACCTCCATATGTACTCATTACATATAAATATGTCCACATGAAATCTGAAATGTAAAGTCATTATGACAGAAGCTGCAACCTGCCAACATAATGAACAAATACATCACACGAGAAGTGCCAGACAAATACAGAACACCACAACACTGTCTACAACCTGGTGTCAGTGAGATGACAACTGATTATGACACAAATATATATCTACATATAAGCTGATGACATCAGAAATGTCAAGTGATTATGAAAGAACTATAAAGTCATCAACAGACTGCTGCCCAAGCTAAATACATTTCCCCAAGCTGAAACAAATCATTACCCAGGGTAAAATAAACTGTTGCTCAAGCTGAAACAAATCATTACCCAGGGTAAAACAAACTGTTGCCCAGATGGAAACAAATTATTACCCAGGGTGAGGCTGAATATAAAAATGAGAAAACCTACTCCCAAAACAATAAGTGTAGCAAGTAGAACACTTCACCTGTCTTCTGCCACTAGACTTTTCTGCACCATCTTCACGGGCATCGTCATCTCCATCCGTGTGAGCAAACACTTCCTCTTCTCTCAACCGGTCTAGCATGTGGCCGAGCTCTTCGTCCTCATCATTCTCATAGATAACTTCCTCGTCAGAATCTGAGTGAAACAAACCCAATAAAACTGTTGACAGGCGGATCATTAATATACATTGCTGTTGTCAATCTGAAGTTTCCTTCAGGCTGCTTGCAATATGCTTTCAGAACAACATCAGCTTTGAAAATGTCTGCAGAATTTCACTACTATAACAACCTGATGGACACACTAGATCCTCAATACTCCCATAGCTCTAGATTTGGATGCCTGTAATGGTGCTAAATATAGGAATATAATAAGGGGTCTGACTGGTTACTAGAATTAGGAAAGTTCCCGGGTTGCAAGGCACAAGTTTGCTTGGGCAACACGAGACAAAGCGAAAAGGGGGTGGGGGGGGGGGGTGGGGGGTTGCCTCTATCCCTTTTTCCACTGATCTTTCCAGTTGTCACGATGTTCTCCAATGTCTCTCCTCTCATTATATAGTCAACTGCCCTTGAATCCTTTCTGTACCACGGATGCAATCCAGTGCAGTCCTCTTTCAATGCTCACCCCAGGCCATCTCTTGGAAATCCTTGTTTCCTTAGTCCATGTGTTTCCCATTCCAGTGCCTGTTTGGTGGTTCACTGCCCCTTTCCCCCTCAAGATCTATCCAATATATTACCATCTGCTTTGACTTCTTATAACTGATGATGCATCACCATTGAGACAGTTCAATGATTTCTTCACCTTCCTGAATTTATTACAATGAATGTTCATCAAGTTCCTCAGACAAGTGTTTTTGAATGTATTCAACTTTTGTTCCACGTCTTTAATGGTTCTCCAACTGTCACATGCTCAAACTCAAATTACACTGCAATTAAAAATATGCAGCTTGGTTTTAAAACTGCAATTGAGAGTTTCATATCGTGTTCAGACTTTTACAAATAGCTGTTGCCTTGCCAGTGCACATCATCATTTCTATCTCTGTGTTTGCTTGGCATACAGAACTGCCATCTGAATATCCAAGTGAATTAACATCAAGAAGTAGGTAGTTAAGTGAAAAAAAAAAACACGGTAAAAAAAACTATGACCACAAAGCTTTACAGATGAAAGGAAACAGATGTGAACAAATAGAAGGCAATGTTTTCACTCAAACATGTGGTTGTATGTGTGCATTTCTTGTCCTTCCTGTCTGTTGTGCATTTTGTGCACAGTTTTGTTTTTTTGGAGTCTGGTTGTTTTGACTCAAGTAGGGTTTCATGTGATGATAATGAGCAAACGACGAGGACACAACAGAAGATGCCTAACTGTGGCCATACACAGGACAGCAGGGGCAACAGCAGGAAATGAGAAGAAGGATACATACATAATTAAAAATAAAGTTGTGTAAACATCCAGACTGAAGAAAACTAAATTAGACTGAAGACATATAAAAAGGTAATTAATTAGATTAGGTACACGGATAGTTTCTGGATACATTAGAGGAAACAATGCAAAGAAAGTAGTCAGTCAGTCAGTCAGTCAGTCAGTCAGTAAGTCAGTCAGTCAGTAAGTCAGTCAGTAAGTCAGTCAGTAAGTCAGTCAGTCAGTCAGTCAGTCAGTAAGAGAAAGACAATACATGTGGATAGACAAGGTCAAAAGGTGGACTGGAAGGATCCTGAATTAATACATGATAAAGATAAAGAGACAGTAAGTTTATACTTATCTCTCAGTGGCTCTCCCTCACAACCACACATACATAAACTAACCTATAATTATCTCTCAGTGGCTCTCTCCCTCACAACCACACATACATAAACTAACCTATAATTTGCCTCTCAGTGGCTCTCTCCCTCACAACCACACATACATAAACTAACCTATACTTATCTCTCAGTGGCTCTCTCCCTCACAACCACACATACATAAACTAACCTATACATATCTCTCAGTGGCTCTCTCCCTCACAACCACACATACATAAACTAACCGTCCTCAGCTCTCTCCCTCAGAACCATACAGAAACTAACCTGTTATTCCTGGGCTCTCTCCTCAATCCTGGAGACTTGCTCTGCCATCTCTCACTGGTGAAGTCACAAGCCATCCCTGGGACTTATGGCTCTGAGCACATGGTGATAGTGACGGGGCATAGATAAGACCAGATGTTAGGATGTTAACTACAATTATTGTGGCTCAAACTGATGTGGGGGCTATACTTATTAGGCATAAGATCCCTGGATATGTTAACCTAGATTTGGTGGTCACAGCTACACTCTAAACTAACCTTGCAGGTACTCCCTCACATCCCCTACATAAACTTGCAGGTACTACCCCTACCCTTGCAGGTACTAAACTAACCACCCTTGCAGGTACTACCTCCACCCTTGCAGGTACTACCTCACACCACTTACAGGTACTACCACCACCCTCACAGCCACACATACATAAACTAACCTATAGGTATCTCTCAGTGGCTCTCTACCTCACATCCACACATACATAAACTAACCGTCCTCAGAGGGGTAGAATGTGTTATTCCTGGGTTTCTCAATCCTGGAGACTTGCTCTGCCAGGTCTGTGAAGTAAGCCATCCCTGGGACATGGCTCTGAGCAAAGTGGTGATAGTGACGGGGCAGAGATAAGACCAGATGTTAGGATGTTAACACAATTATGGTGGCACTGATGTGGGGGCTATGGTTTAGGCATTAGATCCCTGGATATGTTAGCCAGATTTGGTGGTACTACCTCTACCCTTGCAGGTACTACCTCCACCCTTGCAGGTACTACCTCTACCCTTGCAGGTACCACCTCCACCCTTGCAGGTACTACCCCTAGCCTTGCAGGTACTACCTCTACCCTTGAAAGTACTACCCTTACCCTTGCAGGTACTCCCTCCACCCTTGCAGGTACTCCCTCCACCCTTGCAGGTACTACCTCTACAGGTACTACCTCCATCCTTGCAGGTACTACCTCCACCCTTGCAGGTACTACCTCTACAGGTACTACCTCCACCCTTGCAGGTACTACCTCCACTCTTGCAGGTAATACCTCTACAGGTACTACCTCCACCCTTGCAGGTACTACCTCCACCCTTGCAGGTACTACCCCTACCCTTGCAGGTACTACCCCTACCCTTGCAGGTACTACCCCTACCCTTGCAGGTACTACCTCTACAGGTACTACCCCTACCCTTGCGTATGAAAACAAATAAAGACCCTATGTGCAGTCTTGTATGTCTGGCATGAGAAATTCCACAGACTTTCAATGTCTAAGAATGCCATCTCACAAGGGAATAAATTTTGAACAGTCAAATACCCTGAGCCAAAATCAAGCAAATCATCAGCTACAAACAGTTATAAAGCCTCAGTAAAATTACCTGGCTAAAACAGTTGCATAAACGACAAGTTTCAAACAATTAGGAATGAATGTCAATACTTTGATTTAACTCATTTTAAAGATTCAATTAGAATTATGTGATAAAAAAAAAAAAAATCAAACAGAGACAATTCAAAAAAGCTTACCTGATTCAGTTAAAATAATCTGATTCAACAAACTATAGATTCAGTTAACATTATTTGATTCAACCAACTCTAAATATTAAATAAAATCATTTGATTCAACCTATGGTTAAGATTGAACTCAAATGATCTGAAATGATAAACTAAAAATTCAATTGAAATTAATTGATTCAATCAATTGTACAGATTCAACAACATTTATTTGATTCAACTATTGTGATTTTCTACAATCATTTGTAAAGATGCAACTAAAAAGATGATCACCACCATCAAAGACCAAGCTCACCCCCCTCACATGATCACCAGTCATAGAGCAGGTCCCGTCCCAACTGTACCATGTGGACAAGTCATCAAACTGTTATCTCCTGGTCTTTGTTTCTCTTTGCTGAGTTCCCACACAGTAAGCCTCTTGTGGACATGTTATCAAGCTGATTTCTCCTCATACATTGATTGTTTATGTATAATTTCCCATATCAATTTGCAGTCTGCAGAATGGCCTCACTCAAACATTCATCCATATATGGTATTTTTGTCATTTCCCTGAAGCACCATCTCTTCCTGTTCTCTTCACCATCCACCATGTTTGCCCAGCTTGTTTGCTGACTGTTCAGCTCTCAGGTATATGTAACAAACCAGGCTTCAAGAATCAAGCATCCATGATTCAACTAAGTCATGTGATTAAAGCAACTGTAAAGATGACACGGTCAAGGACTGACTAACTTTTGGAATGTTTCTCTCAGCACGGTAGCGGGCTTCATTAGACGGAGGCTCAGTCTCCTGGAAGAGCTTCTCCAGGAGTCCCCCCTTGTTCCAGGCAGAGAACAGAGTCTTCCCATGGTGGTAGCCAGTCTCCTACAGACAGAGCGGGAGAGAGAGAGAGAAAGAGTTCAGTTCACATTTACATAACATGGGAATATGTGCTATAAGTGTCTGGTCAAAAATGGGGTACAGGCCAGCTAGCTAGTGATGCTTTGAAACATTGTCTGTTTCTAGCCCCGGTGTACTGATACAATATCCCATTTCTAGACTGGCAGTCCAAAGGTTGCAATGCCCAGCTACTGAGTGGAGTGCTTGGTGTGACACTGTAAGCTACGGATTTCATGTTAAATGTTTTTCTCATCTGTGTTGGTAGCAGTTTTGTTATTTGAACTATAATAAAAAATGATGGGCGGCAGATTATGTTAAGAATGGTGAGTACTTATGCAGTTTTGCATGAGCAAATGTCAGCTTTCATAACTAATTGTTTGTATGAACAGTAAGCTGTAATTCTTGTGGGAGACTGTTAGTGTTAGCACATCTGGTGACTGCCTTATATATTTACTTTTCATGTGTGAGCTTTAAGATTTTACTAGGACTGTCTTATTTCAAATGGGGCAATGAAGGACTTGTGTATGATTTCCACCGGCACAGAAACTGGGCAGTAAGGAGGTGATTCATCTGCAATAAAGCTGGAACCTCAGATAATGACTCATGTATGAAATATAAGCACACAAATGCATACAAACATACATGGGGAACCAGAGGGAACATGGGAGAAAGAGGGGAGGGGGGGGAGACACAGAGAGGGAACTAGGGAGAAGGAGGGAGGAAGAAGACAGGGGAGACAGAGGGCATGAATGAGAGGGAGGAAGACATGGAGAGAAGCAGGGAGTGGATCAGATAGAAAGATAAAGAGGTAGAAACGTTAGAGTTAGAGAGGAATGGAGAAATCTTCTCAACTCTACAGACTGACCCAGCTCAACAGGATCATCCCAACTCTTATGTATTGACACTGCATTAGAAAATGAGGGCTACAAGATTAATCTGAAGATCTCCTACATGATGTCCAACCACATAGAAACACACACACACACACTTACTGCAATATCATCAAAACTGCCAAACTGCAGGGTACCATATCTGTCTATAGGTGGCCTGATGTACTCGCAGTAGTCTGAGTTCTTCACCACTTCTAGCTGCCGCACACAGGACACATAAGCCAGCCGAGACTGGATCTCTGTCATGTCAGGTACCTAGAGATGACAAGTCTGTCAGTGCTGACATGGCAGCTGGGACTGGATCTCTGTCATGTCAGGTACCTAGAGATGACAAGTCTGTCAGTGCTGACATGGCAGCTGGGACTGGATCTCTGTCATGTCAGGTACCCAGAGATGACAAGTCTGTCAGTGCTGACATGGCAGCTGGGACTGGATCTCTGTCATGTCAGGTACCTAGAGATGACAAGTCTGTCAGTGCTGACATGGCAGCTGGGACTGGATCTCTGTCATGTCAGGTACCTAGAGATGACAAGTCTGTCAGTGCTGACATGGCAGCTGGGACTGGATCTCTGTCATGTCAGGTACCTAGAGATGACAAGTCTGTCAGTGCTGACATGGCAGCCGGGACTGGATCTCTGTCATGTCAGGTACCTAGAGATGACAAGTCTGTCAGTGCTGACATGGCAGCCGGGACTGGATCTCTGTCATGTCAGGTACCTAGAGATGACAAGTCTGTCAGTGCTGACACGGTCAAGGCTTGTCTCAGACTTGACCAGCTCTATCATAACTAGTACCATGAGGACTGTCTTGTCTGTACGTGATCAGGTCTGGAATATGTAGACTGTCTTGTCTGGAGTCTGTACATGATCAGGTCTGGAATATGTAGACTGTCTTGTCTGGAGTCTGTGCATGATCCTCTGGGACCTGCAGACTGTCTTGTTTTCAGTCTTTAGAGGACTATTTAAGGGACCTGCAGACTGTCTTGTCTAGAATCTGTACATGATCATGTCTGGGATCCTCAGATTGTCTTGTCTGGAGTCTGTACATGATCATGTCTAGAATTCTCAAACTGTCTTGTCTGGAGTCTGTACATGATCATGTCTAGAATCCTCAAACTGTCTTGTCTGGAGTCTGTACATGATCATGTCTAGAATCCTCAAACTGTCTTGTCTGGAGTCTGTACACGATCATGTCTAGAATCCTCAAACTGTCTTATCTGGAGTCTGTACCCATGTCAAGAGTTATTGGGAAATATATATGAAGTTTTCCAGGTCTCATCTAGAAGCAAAGATGCAACACAAGACATGGATGGTGTATTTTAATTTAATCATTGTATGTGTGTCAGCGATCTGGAAGTAGAGACTTCCACACAAAGACTGTCTGCAAGTGATCCAGACCAACCTAGTCTATCATCTACAGAGAGAGACTTCCGCACAAAACTGTCTGGAAGTGCTCCAGACCAACCTTGTCTATCATCCACAGAGAAAGACTTCCACTTAAGACTGTCTGGAAGTGCTCCAGACCAACCTAGTCTATCATCCACAGAGAAAGACTTCCACACAAGACTGTCTGCAAGTGCTCCAGACCAACCTAGTCTACCATCCACAGAGAGAGACTTCCACTTAAGACTGTCTGCAAGTGCTCCAGACCAACCTAGTCTATCATCCACAGAGAGAGACTTCCACACAAGACTGTCTTATAGTGATCCAGACCAACCTAGTCTATCATCCACAGAGAGAGACTTCCACTTAAGACTGTCTGGAAGTGCTCCAGACCAACCTAGTCTATCATCCACAGAGAAAGACTTCCACTTAAGAATGTCTGCAAGTGCTATAGACCAACCTAGTCTATCATCCACAGAGAGAGACTTCCACACAAGACTGTCTGCAAGTGATCCAGACCAACCTAGTCTATCATCCACAGAGAGAAACTTCCACACAAGACTGTCTGCAAGTGCTATAGACCAACCTAGTCTATCATCCACAGAGACTTCCACACAAGACTGTCTGCAAGTGATCCAGACCAACCTAGTCTACCATCTACAGAGAAAGACTTCCACTTAAAACTGTCTGAAAGTTCTAGAGACCACAGCTACAACAACACTGATTGGGGAAGGGGGGGGGGAACTGCAGGCCTTACATAGATTTGAGTACAGCAGACCAACCTAGAAAATTTTGCGACATGAGAGAGACCCCACACATCAACTGTCTAGCTTCCCTAACATGCACCAACCTAGTGTAGTGGCCACAGATCCCAACATCATCATGTCTAGCTTCCCTAACATGCACCAAGATGTGTAGTGGCCACAGTGATCCCCAACATCTATGTCTACCATCCCCAGAGAGAGACATGCACACAAGATTGTGTCTGGCCACAGATCCCCAACATCAATGTCTACCTCCCCTATCATGCACCAAGATTGTGTAGAGGTCACAGATCCACAAAGATGTCTACCTCAAGTGATCATGCACCAAGATAGTGTACCATCCACAGATCCCCAACATCAATGTCTACCTCCCCTAACCCACTGAAAGTTGTAGAGACCACAGATACAACAACATCACCTTCCCTTGATTGTGTAGTGGCCACAGGGATGCTACCTCCCCTAACATGCACCAAGATTGTGTAGTGGCCACAGATCCCCAACATCAATGTCTACCTTCCCTAACATGCACCAAGATTGTGTAGTGGCAAGAATTGTGTATAGGTAAGAAGAAGAGACAGATCCCCAACAGATATCAATGTCTACCTTCCCTAACATGCACCAAGATTGTGTAGTGGCCACAGATCCCCAACATCAAATGTCTACCTACCCTAACATGCATCAAGATTGTCTCATATCCCCAAGATCTACCTTCCCTAACATGCACCAAGATTGTGTACAGGTCCACAGATCCCCAACATCAATGTCTACCTCCCCTAACATGCCTAAGATTGTGTATGCACATCCCCAAGATCAATGTCTACCTTCCCTAACATGCCACCAAGATTGTGTAGTGGCCACAGATCCCCAACATCAATAACATGCACCAAGATTGTGTAGAGGTCACAAAAACCAATGTCTACTCCCCCTAACATGCAGACCAAGATTGTCCTGGTCACAGATCCCCAACATCAATGTCTACCTCCCCTATCATGCACCAAGATTGTGTAGAGGTCACAGATCCCCAACATCAATGTCTATCTTCCCCTATCATGCACCAAGATTGTGTAGAGGTCACAGATCCCCAACATCAATGTCTACCTCCCCTAACATGCACCAAGATTGTGTAGAGGTCACAGATCCCCAACATCAATGTCTACCTCCCCTAACATGCACCAAGATTGTGTAGAGGTCACATATCCCCAACATCAATGTCTACCTTCCCTAACATGCACCAAGATTGTGTAGAGGTCACAGATCCCCAACATCAATGTCTACCTTCCCTAACATGCACCAAGATTGTGTAGAGGTCACAGATCCCCAACATCAATGTCTACCTCCCCTAACATGCACCAAGATTGTGTAGAGGTCACAGATCCCCAACATCAATGTCTACCTTCCCTAACATGCACCAAGATTGTGTAGAGGTCACAGATCCCCAACATCAATGTCTACCTCCCCTAACATGCACCAAGATTGTGTAGAGGTCACAGATCCCCAACATCAATGTCTACCTCCCCTAACATGCACCAAGATTGTGTAGAGGTCACAGATCCCCAACATCAATGTCTACCTCCCCTAACATGCACCAAGATTGTGTAGTGGCCACAGATCCCCAACATCAATGTCTACCTCCCCTAACATGCACCAAGATTGTGTAGAGGCCACAGATCCCCAACATCAATGTCTACCTCCCCTAACATGCACCAAGATTGTGTAGTGGCTGCCCACATCCACGGCCACAGTGATCTAGAGTTTTATCCCCAACAGTAGCCTCACTATCATCAAGTGCCTTGCCAAATGGTACAGGTGATCATGTCTTTCCACAACTCCCGGACTAAATCCCAATGTGCTGACTCATTGAGGTGCAGACTTGATGAGGAAGTCAAGAACAAACAGAAACAAATCTGTTTGATGCCAATGGCACCACTGGGCATATGATGCTTGACTCATACTTCCTAACCGCCTTTACTTGCCCAAGTACTTTATCTAGCACCTTTTTTAAGCTGGGTCGTCAACCTAGCAGCCACACTGATTATCTAGCACCTTTTTAAGCTGGGTCGTCAACGTAGCAGCCACACTGATTATCTAGCACCTTTTTAAGCTGGGTCGTCAACCTAGCAGCTACAATGATTATCTAGCACCTTTTTAAGCTGGGTCGTCAACCTAGCAGCTACAATGATTATCTAGCACCTTTTAAGCTGGGTCGTCAACCTAGCAGCCACACTAATTATCTAAAAAATAAATAAAAAAGTCTGACTCGTGAATGTTATTCCTAGATGTTGAGAACTAGAGGTAAACATTTAGCCACTACAGCACCAGTGTGTCTCCTGACTCAGTGAGTAGAAGAGATGTTTCAGCTGTATTTCTGGCCTTGTTTCTGTGCTCACAGCTCTTGACATAAGCTCTGCGCACCCAGAACCCAACGTATGACTGTACACAATTGTGTCCACATCACTGACTTTTCCACTCCTACTATGAACCTTTTTTCTGATAATACAGTCATGTTAGAGACCTCCTGAAGCTTCAAAAACTTGCGGTGAACCAGTTCACAGAGACAAGTAGTCAGTGTTGAGCCCATATCAACAGAGCAATGAAAGCAAACACTGAAAACTCTTAATCTCTGGTTAGATCCATCTCCAGATTCTAGCATCAAACCTAAACAATGACAAAAATACAACAGGCACACAGAGGATTGTGCTAGGAGACTGTAAGCAGAACCAGAATACTGGACAGCCAGTCAATGATCAGTAAAGACAGGCAGACTGCATGGGTATAAGGACTGTCAATGACAAGGTCAGTTAATATGGACAGGTCCACAGTCAGTCAGAGCATGGCCTAGGAAACTATAAGTGAACATGTTAAAAGAAAAAAGGTCACTTGAATTGTTAATAAGACATTTACTGAATCTGAATCACTGAACTGTTACTGATAAAGACATGTAGAATATCATGAAAGATTAGACACACAAAAACTATTAGCACACATGGATAACACAGTAAGAGGGGCTCTAAATGTTAGAGAGGATTAGTAGATGTTAAGGACTACCAATTCATAACTAGAATAATAAACACGCAGAAAAGATACATAGACAAGATGCAAAGATAGGTTGACTGACTAATGGTTGGATTCACAATGAAGCTATGCACCAGTACTACAGTACTCTTCAGGCACTGGAGCTCCAGTTTTCTCTTCAGACACCAGATTTACAGTCCTTCTCTTCAGGCACTGGAGCTACAGTCTTTTCTTTCAGGCAATGGAACTAGTCTTTCTCTTCAGGCACTGGAACTATTGTCTTTCTCTTCAGGCAATGGAACTAGTCTTTCTCTTCAGGCACTGGAACTACAGTCTTTTCTTTCAGGCAATGGAACTAGTCTTTCTCTTCAGGCACTGGAACTAAAGTCTTTTCTTTCAGGCAATAGAACTATTGTCTTTCTCTTCAGGCAATGGAACTAGTCTTTCTCTTCAGGCACTGGAACTAAAGTCTTTTCTTTCAGGCACTGGAGCTAGATTGTTTTTCTTCAGGCGCTGGAACTGAAGTCTTTTCTTTTAGGCACTGCAACCACATCGTTTCTATTCAGGCCCTGGAATTACATTGTTTCTTTACTAGTCTTTCTCTTTAGGCGCCGGAACTTTAGTCTTTCTCTTCAGGCACTGGAACTATAGTCTTTCTCTTCAGGCGCCGGAACTATAGTCTTTCTCTTCAGGCACTGGAACTATAGTCTTTCTCTTCAGGCGCCAGAACTATAGTCTTTCTCTTCAGGCGCCAGAGCTATAGTCTTTCTCTTCAGGCACTGGAACTATAGTCTTTCTCTTCAGGCACTGGAACTATAGTCTTACCCTTCAGGCACTGGAACTATAGTCTTTCTCTTCAGGCACTGGAACTATAGTCTTACCCTTCAGGCACTGGAACTATAGTCTTTCTCTTCAGGCCCTGGAACTATAGTCTTTCTCTTCAGGCACCGGAACTATAGTCTTTCTCTTCAGGCACTGGAGCTACAGTCTTTTCTTTCAGGCACTGGAACTATAGTCTTTCTCTTCAGGCGCCGGAACTATAGTCTTTCTCTTCAGGCACTGGAACTATAGTCTTTCTCTCCAGGCACTGGAACTATAGTCTTTCTCTTCAGGCACTGGAACTATTGTCTTTCTCTTCAGGCACTGGAGCTACAGTCTTTTCTTTCAGGCACTGGAACTACAGTCTTTCTCTTCAGGCGCTGGAACTGAAGTCTTTTCTTTTAGGCACTGCAACCACATCGTTTCTATCCAGGCCCTTGAATTACATTGTTTTTCTTTTACTAGTCTTTCTCTTCAGGCGCTGGAACTATTGTCTTTCTCTTCAGGCACTGGAAACTATAGTCTTTCTCTTCAGGCGCTGGAACTATAGTCTTTCTCTTCAGGCACTGGAACTATAGTCTTTCTCTTCAGGCCCTGGAACTATAGTCTTTCTCTTCAGGCGCTGGAACTATAGTCTTTCTCTTCAGGCACTGGAACTATAGTCTTTCTCTTCAGGCACTGGAACTATAGTCTTTCTCTTCAGGCACTGGAACTAGTCTTTCTCTTCAGGCACTGGAACTACAGTCTTTTCTTTCAGGCAATGGAACGAGTCTTTCTCTTCAGGCACTGGAACTAAAGTCTTTTCTTTCAGGCACTGGAGCTAGATTGTTTTTCTTCAGGCGCTGGAACTGAAGTCTTTTCTTTTAGGCACTGCAACCACATCGTTTCTATTCAGGCCCTGGAATTACATTGTTTCTTTACTAGTCTTTCTCTTCAGGCGCCTGGAACTATAGTCTTTCTCTTCAGGCACTGGAACTATAGTCTCTCTTCAGGCGCAGAAACTATAGTCTTTCTTGGCACTGGAACTATAGTCTTTCTCTTCAGGCGCCAGAACTATAGTCTTTCTCTTCAGGCACTGGAACTATAGTCTTACCCTTCAGGCACTGGAACTATAGTCTTTCTCTTCAGGCACTGGAACTATAGTCTTACCCTTCAGGCACTGGAACTATAGTCTTCTCTTCTCTTCAGGCAGGAACTATAGTCTTTTCTCTTCAGGCACTGGAACTATAGTCTTTCTTTCAGGCACTGGAGCTACAGTCTTTTCTCTTCAGGCACTGGAACTATAGTCTTTCTCTTCAGGTGGCTGGAACTATAGTCTTTCTCTTCAGGCACTGGAACTATAGTCTTTCTCTTCAGGCACTGGAACTATAGTCTTTCTCTTCAGGCACTGGAACTATTGTCTTTCTCTTCAGGCACTGGAACTATAGTCTTTTCTTCAGGCACTGGAACTACAGTCTTTCTCTTCAGGCACTGGAACTATTCTTTTCTCTTCAGGCACTGGAACTACAGTCTTTCTCTATCCAGGCCCTGGAACTATAGTCTTTCTTCAGGCACTGGAGCTAGTCTTTCTTTTCAGGCGCTGGAACTATATAGTCTTTCTCTTCAGGTGCCTGGAACTATAGTCTTTCTCTTCAGGCACTGGTCTTTCTCTTCAGGCACTGGAACTATAGTCTTTTCTCTTCAGGCACTATTGTCTTTCTATAGTCTTTCTCTTCAGGCACTGGAACTATAGTCTTTCTCTTTCAGGCGCTGGAACTAAGTCTTTCTTTCTCTTCCACATTGTTTCTATCTAGCCATTACATTGGAACTTTACTAGTCTTTCTCTTCAGGCGCTGAGAACTATAGTCTTTCTCTTCAGGCACTGGAACTATAGTCTTTTTTTCCTTTCAGGCACTGGAACTACAGTCTTTCTCTTCAGGCGCTGGAACTATAGTCTTTCTCTTCAGGCACTGGGAACTATAGTCTTTTCTCAGGCATTACAGGTGGAACTATAGCCTTTCTCTTCAGGCGCTGGAACTATAGTCTTTCTCTTCAGGCACTGGAACTATAGTCTTTCTCTTCAGGCACTGGAACTATAGTCTTTCTCTTCAGGCACTGGAACTATAGTTTTTCTATTCAGGCACTGGAACTATAGTCTTTCTCTTCAGGCACTGGAACTATAGTCTTTCTCTTCAGGCACTGGAACTATAGTCTTTCTCTTCAGGCACTGGAGCTGCAGTCTTTCCTTTCAGACATTGGAACTACAGTCTTTCTCTTCAGGCGCTGGAACTAAAGTCTTTTATTTCAGGCACTGGAACTACATTGTTTTTCTACAGGTGCTGGACCTAAAGCCTTTTCTTTCAGGCACTGCAACCACATTGTTTCTCTTCAGGCACTGGAACTATAGTCTTTCTCTTCAGGCACTGGAACTATAATAGTCTTTCTCTTCAGGCACTGGAACTATAATAGTCTTTCTCTTCAGGCACTGGAACTATAGTCTTTCTCTTCAGGCACTGAAACTACATTGTTTCTCTTCAGGCGCTGGAACTATAGTCTTTCTCTTCAGGCACTGGAACTATAGTCTTTCTCTTTAGGCATTGGAACTAGTCTTTCTCTTCAGGCACTGGAACTATAGTCTTTCTCTTTAGGCATTGGAACTATAGTCTTTCTCTTCAGGCATTGGAACTATAGTCTTTCTCCTCAGGGGCTGGAACTATAGTCTTTCTCTTTAGGCATTGGAACTAAATTGTTTCTCTTCACGTGCTGGAACTATAGTCTTTCTCCACAGACAATTTCATTTCACCTAACCTCATGTATGCTACTTTACTCTGGCCTGCCAACATCCAGTTTTCACAAATGCAAGTGCTCAATTTTTTCCCTTTACCACACACCGTTGATTTTAGTCTCTTACACAGACTCTGTAGCAACTCAGTATGTCTATACCAGGATCTACATATGATACAGATTCTCTCTTAAGTGTATCCAAACTGTGCCATTCTGGGCAGGACAGTGGCCGTTAGTCTTGTCGTTAAGATCAGCAACCACTGATGGTCACCACCTGTCTAACTAATTACTGTTTTTATCTGAGAAATTAGGCATCCGATCCACTATCAGGAGGTCAGAACTGTGACATAATTATGTCCTTGTGACAGAAAGTGTCTTCACAGTTGATGTTTGTCAGTGGATTTGAACTTGCTACTTCTCCAGCTAGAGCTACATACATTGACAATGAATTATCAGTAACAGCAAGCAGGTTGTTATATAGGGGCTTCAAACTATTAGTACAGGACTGCAGATTGTTAGTACCACCCAAGAGATTGTTAGTACAACCCAAGAGATTGTTAGTAAAGCCCAACAGATTCTTAGTAAAGCCCAACAGATTGTTAGTACAGCCCAACAGATTGTTAGTAAAGCCTAACAGATTGTTAGTAAGGCCCAACAGATTGTTAGTAAGGCCCAACAGATTGTTAGTAAAGCCCAACAGATTGTTAGTAAGGCCTAACAGATTGTTAGTAAGGCCCAACAGATTGTTAGTAAGGGCCAACAGATTGTTAGTAAGGCCCAAGAGATTGTTAGTAAGGCCCAAGAGATTGTTAGTAAGGCCCAAGAGATTGTTAGTAAGGCCCAACAGATTGTTAGTAAGGCCCAAGAGATTGTTAGTAAAGCCTAACAGATTTTTAGTAAGGCCCAACAGATTGTTAGTAAAGCCCAAGAGATTGTTAGTAAAGCCTAACAGATTTTTAGTAAGGCCCAACAGATTGTTAGTAAAGCCCAACAGATTGTTAGTAAAGCTTACAGATTGTTAGTAAGGCCCAACAGATTGTTAGTAAAGCCCAAAAGATTGTTAGTAAAGCCCAACAGATTGTTAGTAAGGCCCAACAGATTGTTAGTAAGGCCTAACAGATTGTTAGTAAGGCAAAAAAGATTGTTAGTAAAGCCAGTTAAACAGATTGTTAGTAAAGCCCAACAGATTGTTCGTAAAGCCCAACAGATTGTTAGTAAGGCCCAACAGATTGTTAGTAAAGCCAGTTAAACAGATTGTTAGTAAAGCCCAACAGATTGTTAGTAAGGCCTAACAGATTGTTAGTAAAGCCAGTTAAACAGATTGTTAGTAAGGCCCAACAGATTGTTAGTAAAGCCAGTTAAACAGATTGTTAGTAAAGCCCAACAGATTTGTCCACATACTGTCAGTAATCCTCCACATACTGTCAGTAATCCTCCACACACTGTCAGTAACCCACAACAGCTGTCAGTAATTCCTGACACAGCGTCAGTAATGGCCACGAGAAAGTCAGTAATGTCGAGCAGGATGTTAGCAAGCAATCAGCAGCTGAGCACAACGTTAGCGGGGATCTCCTACCTGGAACGTTATTGACATAAGCACCATCTAGCAGCAAATGGCCGTCGTTAGGGTCACAGAGTGGCGGGAGGTAGGGGTGGATAGACATGCTGGCGCGCACGTAGCGCCAGAGATCTCCTATGTTACCAGGGGAGAGAAGAAGCAAGACAGAACAGTTAAAAACCACTTCAAGGTAATGAGTGAAGACAAGTTTGCACTGTACCTGGGAGGTTATTGACGTAACCTCCATCGAGGATCAGGTGGCCATCCACGGGGTCACACAGTGGGGGCAGATAGCCAGCCAGGGACATGCTGGCACGCACGTAACGCCACAGACTACCTGTCAGCAGCAGGGGGGAATAGACTATCAACATTGTGTACATTTCATGTTGTATTTATTACTTTAGTAACAGACATCTAACAATTAATCAATTACTGTCATACTGCATGTATTTACTACTACTCCAGTTTAGGCAGGGAGTCTTTGGGCCTAAAGATTTAAGACCACATAGCCAGTGGCTGTCCCTATGCACTGTGCAGGTTAGGCAGGGTGTCTTTGAGCCTAAAGATTTCAGACCACATAGCCAGTGGCTGTGAGCACTGTAAAGAGGGTGTCTTTGAGCCTAAAGATCTCAGACCACATAGCCAGTGGCTGTCCCTATGCGCTGTGCAGTTTAGGCAGGGTGTTTTTGAGCCTAAAGATTTCAGACCACATAGCCAGTGGCTGTCCCTATGCGCTGTGCAGTTTAGGCAGGGTGTCCTTGAGCCTAAAGATTTCAGACCACATAGCCAGTGGCTGTGCCTATGCACTGTGCAGGTTAGGCAGGGTGTCTTTGAGCCTAAAGATCTCAGACCACATAGCCAGTGGCTGTCCCTATGCGCTGTGCAGGTTAGGATTTTATTTTTGCCATGACAGAAAAAATCTCCAACCTTATCAAGGATTGGAAAGCCAGGTCTCCTGCAGCATGAGAGCCTTGCGTTCTTAACTGTTTGGCCAGCTGCTCCTCATAATCAATATTAGATTGAAATATACAGTAGAAACTCTATGAGTTGACCGCTCAATGACTGTAGCTCAACACAGACAACCAGCATATGGAAGGAGGCTTACTGCATCACACTAGACTTCATTGGACAACTGATTTAGTAAACTAATATAGTACATGAAATCATATATAATAACTATGTCAAATCAACTCATCAACATCTGGTTTATCATAGTTTGATTATTCATTCTGGGGGAATCTAGACCTGTGTCTCTTTGTTATTAGGAACATTTGTTAGAGGAAACACAACCCCCCCCCCCCCCCCCCCCCCCCCCAATAATAATCTGTAAGTGGATTGAGCTATCCCTTATTCTTTCTTTGTGTCAGCACCTCTGTAATAACAGTTTAAAATATTATTGTCTTGCTTGTAATACTTCTGATAAATGATGCCCAAATATTGTAATTGATGTGGATGTGCAGTGATCCCAAGTCTTTGAGCATCAGTTCATTGTTTAGCTTTTTGCTAGATATCAATCCAGCCACTTTCAATAAGACAGCAGTAGTGCTATAACCTGGGAGCTCAGACACCATGAATTGCTCCCCCTCCCCTTCCCTCCCCATTTATAAAGTGCCCACCACCCTCTCCCTGAAAACTGGATCCGTACATGTTCTCGTTTTAAGCATTGTTTCAACACTCAGAACTGTAATAATTGTGATGCTTATGAAGCAGCTGACGTCCAAGTCGAGACAATGTGGTCGCTGTTGTGTTCCGGGGACCTATTATGGGGGAAACAAGAATAGAGCTGCGGACTACCTTCAAGCATGCCACAAGAGCTGACTAACTGAGAGCTTCTTTCGAAGTCAAAGTGTATCTGTCTGAGAGGCAAGGAACAAATACTCTGTATACAAATAAGTTGGATCTGTCTGGATGCGCATGCAACACTCAAGATCTGGAACAGGACTAGAGAGTCCAGACGTAAACAAACAATCACAACTTTCCGCCAGAGTTTACAGCCAGTGAATGCGAAGAAGAAGAAGATACTGTAGAATATCTATCTAGACATAAAGTAGCCCCTAAAAGGAAGGGTGCTAACAATTAACTCAAACACAACAGGACAACAGACCATAACTTCCATCCAGACTGTATGACCGCCAACACATCAACTGTGTGCAAACTACGGATAGGTGGTGACATGCCTCTCTGAGGTGGTTGCATTCAGCTACTCTGATATCCTATCCTCATTAATGGGATCAATCAATTCTACAAATGGACTTGATGACACCAAAACAAAATGATCTGAACTACACAATGCTCAGCCAGCACCATCATCATCATCAACTGGCACTTCACCATCATGACATGTAGCAGTCTGCTGTCAAGTGTTGTATGGCTGGCAGCTGGCACTGATCGTGGTTATTTCATGCAGATCTATTTTGTCTTTAATGTCATCAATCCATCTCCTTTTGCACACTCTTTGCTCTCACATCAGATTCTTTAGGTGTAGTGCCTGTGCTAGTAGCTGGTGTTGTTGCATTCTAGTAAGGTGACCAAACCATTTAGTCTTCTCCTTTCCAAGGTATTTGGCTCAAGGTGTTGTTGCCACAGTTTGTCTGACTACATTTTCTCACTTGGTCTTGGCTTCATCTCCCAAACATACAGGAAGGAGCGGATGCAGTAATGACAGTCCCACGAGAAGAACTAACCTGAACTGAGACAAAGATCTAGACAATGACAGTCCCATGCGAAGTACTACACTGAACTGAGACAAAGACATACAAAACAATCCCATGAGAAGAACTAAACTGAACTGAGACAAAGACTTAGACAATGACAGTCCCATGAGAGGTACTACACTGAACTGAGACAAAGACATACACAATGACAGTCCCATGAGAAGTACTACACTGAACTGAGACAAAGACTTAGACAATGACAGTCCCATGAGAAGTACTACACTAAACTGAGACAAAGACATAGACAATGACAATCCCATGAGAAGTACTAAACTGAACTGAGACAAAGACATAGACAATAACAGTCCCATGAGAAGTACTACACTGAACTGAGACAAAGACATACACAATAACAGTCCCATGAGAAGTACTACACTGAACTGAGACAAAGACTTAGACAATGACAGTCCCATGAGAAGTACTACACTAAACTGAGACAAAGACATAGACAATGACAATCCCATGAGAAGTACTAAACTGAACTGAGACAAAGACATAGACAATAACAGTCCCATGAGAAGTACTACACTGAACTGAGACAAAGACTTAGACAATGACAGTCCCATGAGAAGTACTACACTAAACTGAGACAAAGACATAGACAATGACAATCCCATGAGAAGTACTAAACTGAACTGAGACAAAGACATAGACAATAACAGTCCCATGAGAAGTACTACACTGAACTGAGACAAAGACATACACAAGGACAGTCCCATGAGAAGTACTACACTGAACTGAGACAGAGACACAGACCTAGACCAACAACCAACCTGATGAGTGGACCCTCATGGTGGAGTTGGAGATGTTGGTTGTGATGCAGAAGTAAGGGATCCACAGGTCCTCAATCTGCCGGTCATGGAAGACATTCTCTATAGACTCATTGAATGCTGAGCCTGAAAACAACAGTCAATATATGGACAACTTGAGGGGAACATTACATATGTAGACAACAAGAGGGAAACATTAAGGACGTTCAAAGACAATACTAGAATATAAAGTTCAGGTAGGATATAATTGCCCATGAAAGCTGACAAAGGCACCTGAGACAAGGAATGAAAGGGACACCGGATGTCTGATATCATGCCATGGACAAATGCCATCAGACTAGTGAACAAACATACAGACACACAGAAGTGAGCAGTAAGTGTTGTGACAAAGGGCAGGGGAGACATGCCATGGACAAATGCCATCAGACTAGTAAACAAACATACAGACACACAGAAGTGAGCAGTAAGTGTTGTGACAAGGAGCAGGGGAGACATGCCATGGACAAATGCCATCAGACTAGTAAACAAACACACAGACACACAGAAGTGAGCAGCAAGTGTTGTGACAAGGAGCAGGGGAGACATGCCATGGACAAATGCCATCAGACTAGTGAACAAACACACAGACACACAGAAGTGAGCAGCAAGTGTTGTGACAAGGGGCAGGGGAGACATGCCATGGACAAATGCCATCAGACTAGTAAACAAACACACAGACACACAGAAGTGAGCAGCAAGTGTTGTGACAAGGGGCAGGGGAGACATGCCATGGACAAATGCCATCAGACTAGTGAACAAACACACAGACACACAAAAGTGAGCAGCAAGTGTTGTGGCAAGGGGCAGGGGAGACATGCCATGGACAAATGCCATCAGACTAGTGAACAGACAGATAGACACACAGAAGTGAGCAGCAAGTGTTGTGGGAAGGGGCAGGGGAGACATGCCATGGACAAATGCCATCAGACTAGTGAACAGACAGACAGACACACAGAAGTGAGCAGCAAGTGTTGTGGCAAGGGGCAGGGGAGACATGCCATGGACAAATGCCATCAGACTAGTGAACAAACACACAGACACACAGAAGTGAGCAGCATGTGTTGTGGCAAGGAGCAGGGGAGACATGCCATGGACAAATGCCATCAGACTAGTGAACAGACAGACAGACACACAGAAGTGAGCAGCAAGTGTTGTGGCAAGGGGCAGGGGAGACATGCCATGGACAAATGCCATCAGACTAGTGAACAAACACACAGACACACAGAAGTGAGCAGCATGTGTTGTGGCAAGGGGCAGGGGAGACATGCCATGGACAAATGCCATCAGACTAGTGAACAGACAGACAGACACACAGAAGTGAGCAGCATGTGTTGTGGCAAGGGGCAGGGGAGACATGCCATGGACAAATGCCATCAGACTAGTGAACAAACACACAGAAGTGAGCAGCATGTGTTGTGGCAAGGAGCAGGGGAGACATGCCATGGACAAATGCCATCAGACTAGTGAACAGACAGACAGACACACAGAAGTGAGCAGCATGTGTTGTGGCAAGGAGCAGGGGAGACATGCCATGGACAAATGCCATCAGACTAGTGAACAGACAGACAGACACACAGAAGTGAGCAGCAAGTGTTGTGGCAAGGGGCAGGGGAGACATGCCATGGACAAATGCCATCAGACTAGTGAACAAACACACAGACACACAGAAGTGAGCAGCATGTGTTGTGGCAAGGAGCAGGGGAGACATGCCATGGACAAATGCCATCAGACTAGTGAACAGACAGACAGACACACAGAAGTGAGCAGCATGTGTTGTGGCAAGGAGCAGGGGAGACATGCCATGGACAAATGCCATCAGACTAGTGAACAGACAGACAGACACACAGAAGTGAGCAGCATGTGTTGTGGCAAGGGGCAGGGGAGACATGCCATGGACAAATGCCATCAGACTAGTGAACAAACACACAGAAGTGAGCAGCATGTGTTGTGGCAAGGAGCAGGAGGACACATGCCATCAGACTAGTGAACAAAGACACAGACACACAGAAGTGAGCAGCAAGTGTTGTGACAAGGAGCAGGGGACACATGCCATGGACAAATGCCATCAGACTAGTGAACAAAGACACAGACACACAGAAGTGAGCAGCAAGTGTTGTGACAAGGCGCAGGGGACACATGCCATGGACAAATGCCATCAGACTAGTGAACAAAGACACAGACACACAGAAGTGAGCAGCAAGTGTTGTGACAAGGCGCAGGGGAGACATGCCATCAGACTAGTGAACAGACACACAGAAGTGAGCAGCAAGTGTTGTGACAAGGCGCAGGGGACACATGCCATGGACAAATGCCATCAGACTAGTGAACAAAGACACAGACACACAGAAGTGAGCAATAAGTGTTGTGACAAGGGGCAGGGGAGACATGCCATGGACAAATGCCATCAGACTAGTGAACAAACATACAGACACACAGAAGTGAGCAGCAAGTGTTGTGACAAGGAGCAGGGGAGACATGCCATCAGACTAGTGAACAAAGACACAGACACACAGAAGTGAGCAGCAAGTGTTGTGACAAGGGGCAGGGGACACATGCCATCAGACTAGTGAACAAACACACAGAAGTGAGCAGCATGTGTTGTGACAAGGGGCAGGGGACACATGCCATCAGACTAGTGAACAAAGACACAGACACACAGAAGTGAGCAGCAAGTGTTGTGACAAGGAGCAGGGGAGACATGCCATCAGACTAGTGAACAGACACACAGAAGTGAGCAGCAAGTGTTGTGACAAGGCGCAGGGGACACATGCCATGGACAAATGCCATCAGACTAGTGAACAAAGACACAGACACACAGAAGTGAGCAGCAAGTGTTGTGACAAGGAGCAGGGGAGACATGCCATCAGACTAGTGAACAAAGACACAGACACACAGAAGTGAGCAGCAAGTGTTGTGACAAGGCGCAGGGGACACATCATGACAGTCCACATGTCAGCTGGCATGAAAGGGCAATACAAGAACAGGAGGAAGCTGAAGGAAGAAACAGAAAACAAAAGGAGCACAAGAGTTACACTAACACAGAATGCTCACCTGTAAACATGGAGGCAAAAGGATAGGTCAGGTCCCATATTTTCTTCCACCAGGAGTTCATGACCTAACAGAAAATAAATACACCATGAACAGGTAGGAACACATTTACAAAACAGTTATGAAGAAATCTATTAATCCATGCAGACATGAATGAAATTGAAGAGAGCAGCAGAAGACAAGCAAAAGTGGAATGGAATGGTCAGGAAATTGCACACCCATGACAAAGGCTGAAATGTCTGATGATGATGAATGGAATACCAATGACAATAACATGAGCTAATCAACTCATATCACCCAGTGTTTTCAGATAGAATACAACATGACTGAGACAGCTCACACAGTCCTAGGTTCAAGCTGTGAGCAAGAATACCACACCGCAGTGTACTGTCTCCAGTCTTGTTCCTGATCTACATCAACGACCTACCTCAAGCTTTACCCAGACATGTATCACATTCTCTTCATGCAAATTACCTAGCTGTGTGGTACCCCTCTGAGTTCATTGGACCTGCCATATCAAAACTCCAAGAAAGTGTGAACAATGTCAGAAACTGGGCCCGTGAATTTAGCCTCAAAGTAAACAAGAACAAAACTGTAGCAACACTCTTCTCGCTCTACAAAGGAAGAAAAATTCACATTAAAATTTTATAATAATGATGTTCCAGGCTCCAATACTCCAACCTTCCTGGGAGTCAAGCTTGACAGTCGTCTGACATGGAAACATCACATACTGGAAACTAACAAAATGGCCATGAGAAAACAAAATGTGATGAAGAAATTGGCAGGCACCACTTGGGGAGCGGACAGTTGCATCATGAAGCAGGTATACACTGGCACAGTCAGACCAACTCTAGAATATGCATCATGAAGCAGGTATACACTGGCACAGTCAGACCAACTCTAGAATATGCATCTGCAGGTATACAGACCAACTCTTAAATATGCATCATGGTCTTGGATAACAACAGCTCATTCAAATAAACAGGTACTAGACAACATGCAAAATTGATGTCTGCGCACCATTCTGAGAGCCATACAATCTATACCTATTGTAGAAATAGAAAAGGCACCAGCATTTACCCCTCAGAAGAAAGCAGAAAGACGAGAGCAATTCTACATGCTAAACAAATGAAGAGGATGGCGAACCATTGCACAAAAAAACTGGCAGCCAGTATAAAAAAAAAATTAAAGGACACAAGCCTAAACCATCTAACAAAATAATGAGGAAAGTCATACTCTTCATTACTAAGCAATAAAATGCACCCAAAGACCTGATTTTCAATCTTTGGGACTCTGAATCATTGACACTCAACGTTTCAGCTTCCATCCCGACTTGGGAAATAAAGATGCTGAGCCAAATTTAGTAAAGAGAGCATTCACAGTGGAACACCTCAACAACATGTTCCCAGACAGCTGGACGAGAATCTACACAGACTGATCAGCAAAAGAGGCAACTACAAATGGTGGAGCAGGTGTTTACATAAAACACCCAGATGCCACTAGCGTGTCCCTGGCAGCCCCCACCGGATGAACTTGCTCTAACTACAAGGCAGAGCTCTCAGCCCTTTTGATAGCAGCACAGTATATGAACAAGCTGCAAATTACCGCAGGCAGGATGGTTTTTCTGACTAATTCACTGTCAGCCATATACGCTCTAGAATCCAAAACTACTGACAGCACATAGTCTAACAAAGGAACTTGCTATGTTGTCAGAAGGTCACCTGCGGTGGATTCCATCTCACTGTGACATCAAAGGCAATGAAAGCGCTGATGCTTTAGCCAAAGAAGGCAGTAACAAACCACAAATCCACCAGCCACTATCTTTTTTAGAAGTCAAATCTCCTGTTAAAAGGAAATCAGAAACAGATTGGAAAACCAACACAGGTTATAATCATGAAAATGATTTCCTCAAACACCTGACCAGAACAGATAAAGTCAGTTTTTCATTCACACACTGGACACTCAACAAACACTCATATAAATTAGATATGAGCCAAACAGCTCTCTGCCAGTGTTTTCATTCACACACTGGACACTCAACAAACACTCATATAAATTAGATATGAGCCAAACAGCTCTCTGCCAGTGTTTTCGTGCATAGACTCCAGAACATGTTTAGCAAGACTGTCCTCTCTTAGCGGAGCTGTGAAACAACATGTGTAGACCTGACAATTAAGCTTTGGGAAAACTTAAGAGACCTTGAGATGACATCCCAGTTTATGGCCCACAGTGTATTATGTGCATGACCAGAGATTGCTGAAGAAGAAGGAGAAGAGAGAGCTCAGAGACAAAGAAAGAAAGAAAGAAACAAAGATAGATAGATAGAGAGAGAGAGAGAGAGAGAGAGAGAGAGAGAGAGAGAGAGAGAGAGAGAGAGAGAGAGAGAGAGAGAGAGAGAGAGAGAGAGCTGATATTTACATTAGACTGGCTGAGAGAGAATGAAAGTAAACAAATCTTTGATTGAAACATAAACTGACCGTAGACCATTCTCGGGCCCTCTGTTTGAACCGAACAAAGTTCCTCTCCTCAGCCCACAGGGCCCCGATGAAGGCACCGATGCTGGTGCCCCCAATGACATCTATTGGGATGCCTTCATCTTGCATAGCTTTGATCATCCCCACATGGGCCAGTCCCCTGCAGACATGAAACCACTGCTTTACTCAAGTCAGTAAAATCATTGACTGTTGAGAACCGACTGCCTGATTGCAGAGATCTTACAGTCTCTGTAGGCCCTCAGTTCCTCACCATGTCTGTTTACTACAAACAAACAGAATCTCTCTGGCTGTTGATCCTTTCCTGAGTGGATTTTGGGCAAACCCATTTTGGGGAAAATAAGAACAGACACAGTGCTGTCTAACAAGTGTGGCATAAAAGACAACTAATTAGGGCTGTTTCCATCGAAGTCCAAGTCCATCTGACTGACAGCTGAGGAACCAACAGTTTGCATATAAAACAGCCAGATCTGTAAAACAGAAGTGGACACAAAACTTATGTTCTGGAACAAGATCTAAGTCCAGAAGTGGATGAACCATCACAACTTGCTGCTGCAGTTGTTTACAGCTAGTGAATGCAAAAAAGATGAAGAAGTCCTAATCCTACAGGTTTTCATTGATTTTTTGCAATAACCCTTTCAATCCAGGAACCTTTGAAGGAAATCAAAAAGAAGCCCAGAATGTGTGAATTCCTGGGAAAAACCCAATAAAAAAATCAAATTAGGAAAAATACAACATTTTACACTGGTCACAAATACATTTTTACAACATATATTTATATTTACAATTTAAAAAAAAGAATTAGACATATATGATGGAGAGTAAACAGAAACACTGCAGAGAATCAAGACTTTTCCTTGAGCCTAACATTGTTTTCTCCAGTGACTCATGCTGTGACCCACCCCACTGCTATACGACTGCTGAAGACAAATTATCACATTAAATAAACAACTCTTTCACAATAAACACCCTCCTCCCCCCGCCAATCACACAAATGCTATTTTTAATAAACGGAATCATATTCAACACTCTTAAACACTGTGCAGGTGCAAACAGAACCAATGCCATTAACTAGGCTTGTCTCAATAGGGACTGGCCAATGTAGCAATGCTGGTCTAACATCATCAGGGAGATATGTAATGGAGGGTGATGCTGGGTTGGCAAAAGGGTTAATCAGCAGTTACAAGTAATGGCGGCTGTCAACTAACCTGGCTCCACCTCCTCCAAGGACTAAAGTAATAGAGTTGCCTGTAAGAAATCTGGCAAGTCGTGAGAAGTCAGCCATTCTGTCTGGCTGCGTTTCAAAAACACGCTCGTATGTCTCCAGCTGCAACAATTAAATAAAAGTTAAAAAAATTATAAGCTGTTAAAATAGACAGGTGTTTTTCTAAAACTATTTGATTAGATAAGTTGGCTAACTTGCCTGGTTGTGTGTTTTTTCTATACATCAACAGTGGGGCTACTGTAGGCCAGAGACTAGCACACCTGCTTGCCAGCACAGTGCTCACGGGTGTTTTTAAAATGACCTAGGTGTTGTGTGCTAACTCATTTGAATATGCAAGTATGTCAGAAGAAGCTTAGCAACCCTGCACTCATTTCTGCCTGAAAGAACTCTTGTGTGTGTGTGACTGATGTATAATTATATCTTAGTTACTTTTACTAGGCCTCATCCACATCACACACTTCACTAGGCTCCAGCCTAGAATGGAAATGTTCTGTGAAATAAAGGTGGCTGAAATGATACTGACTACACCATCCATCAAGTTCCAAATAGTCTATCAGCCCCATGTACCCAGCACAGATTGGGTGTGACAATGGGACATCAACTTTCAACATTAGAGCGTCAGTGTAACAAGTGCCTGCAGACCCCCCCCCACCCCCTCCAAAAAAAAAAGCATGATGACTATAGCTCACAGGTCTCAAACATCACATCCAAGTATCTTCTTATATTTGAGGTTTGGTCAATGTATACTAAATAAATCTGGCAACCACAAGGGTTTCTTTCATTCATTTTGTTCACTCCTACAATACAGCAGTGGTAAGTCACACAGCTACAGTGTTAGCCACACTGCTAGTGTTAGAAACAGGGCTACAGTGTTAGTCACATTGACACAGTGTTAGCCACACTGCTAGTGTTAGCCACATAGCTATAGTGTTAGCCACACAGCTATAGTGTTAGCCACCCAGCTTAAGTGCTAGCCACACTGCTAGTGTTAGCCACATAGCTATAGTGTTAGCCACATAGCTATAGTGTTAGCCACATAGCTATAGTGTTAGCCACACAGCTACAGTGTTAGTCACATGGATACAGTGTTAGCCACACTGCAACAGTTTTAGTCACACTGCTAGTGTTAGCCACACAGCTACAGTGTTAGCCACATGGCTGAAGTGTTAGCCACAGGGTTACAGTGTTAGCCACATGGATACAGTGTTACCCACACTGCTACAGTATTAGCCACACAGCTACAGTGTTAGCCACACTTCAAATTCATAGAATTAAAAGCATCACAAAATCTTCAACAGCTCTGCAGGTAGAATGAGATTTTAATTAGTTTACTTATAAAAAGAGACTTAACAGTTTTTGCTGCAGATGTAATTTTCAGCACCCGTTTGGGACAGCGAAGGTGGTGGTGTGAGGACAGCCAGCCCCTGAGGTTCAACCACTCTGTGGTGTTTTTGACAGTCTCTGCATCCTCCTTGTGTAAGAGAATCAACTCTTTCTGGGCTCTGACGGCAATGCTCTCCAGCTCCTTCTCAATCTAGCAGAGACACAAAGAGAGAAACTCTAGACCCCACAGCTGGCATACTATGTTACTGGCAATTGACATGTTTACTGTACAGCAGACATTCTCTCATAGAGGTACACAGCCAGACAGCAGGAGGAAGACATTAACAGAGAGAAAGAGCAAGATGAGATAGAGAGAGAGAGATATAGAGAGAGAAAGATAGAGTGAGAAAGATAGAGAGAGCAAGATAGAGGAGAAAGATAGAGAGAGAGAGTTATAGAGAGAAAGATAGAGAGAGCAAGATAGAGGAGAAAGATAGAGAGAGAGAGAGTTATAGAGAGAAAGATAGAGAGAGAGAGAGAGATATAGAGAGAGAAAGATAGAGCGAGAAAGATAGAGAGAGCAAGATAGAGGAGAAAGATAGAGAGAGAGAGAGTTATAGAGAGAAAGATAGAGAGAGAAAGATAGAGTGAGAAAGATAGAGAGAGAGAGAGTTAGAGATAGAAAAAGATAGAGAGAAAGAGAGAGAGAAAGAGAGAGACAGATAGAGAAAAAGATAGAAATAGAGAGAAAGCGATACAGAGAGAGAGAGAGAGAGAGAGAGTGAAACAGATAGAGAAAGAGAGAGAGATAGAAAAAAAAGAGAGAAAGAGAAAGATAGAGAAAGAGAGAGAAAGACAGAAAAAATAGAGAAAAAGAGAGAGAGAGAGAAAGCGAATGAACAAACTTTATTTTCAAGGGGTCACAAATTTTGCACGCAGGCCTGTCTTACATTCGGCCCTTCCAGTCAACCATCTTTCGCACAGCAGTTGTATTTTACTAATAAAGCATGTTATGATCATATGATGATATGCATATTATGAATATTATAAAAGAACACAAAAGCATGAATTGTAAAGTGCATGCAAAAATCTGCGTGTGCATACACACACCCACATACACACGCTCACCCACTCACTTACACACACATACATACAGGCATGCATACATTACATACATACAGGCATACATACATACATACAGGCATACATACATACACACATACATACAGATATACACACATACATACAGGCATACATACATACACACCAACATACATACATACAAATATACAGGCATACATACATACATACAGGCATATATACATACAGGCATACATACATACATAATACAGGCATACACACATACAAACATAGATATATACATACATACAAAGATGCAGTCATGAATGGAGACACACACATGCACACACTGACACTACCACAGAGACACACACACTCACTCAGACAAAAATACAGACACACACACAGACACTTACATATAAACACACACAGGGAAACACACAGCAGACATATATACATTCATGCTGATACACTGACACACACACACATACACAGACAAACATTCAGACACATACATACAGCCACATAGACACACACACAGTCAAACACACATACAAATACAGACAAACAGGCAGACAAACACATACTGATACCCACACAGACAAACACGCAGAAATGCATACACAGACAAACACATAGAAATACACAAGCAGACACATATATACAGCACGCACAGACATATACTCTGACATGCAGACACATAAACACAACAAAGGGGCACACACAATACACACAGAGAAACACATACAGACACCCACACACAGAGATACATACATACAGCCTCACAGACACACCCGCAGACAAACACACATAAACATACACAGGCAAACATGCAGACAAACACATACGGGGACACACACAGACACACACGAAGACATTCACACAGTCACATCAAACATGCAGACAAACACCGAGACACACACACATGCAGACACACATACACAACAAAGAGGCACACTTTAACACACAGAAACACACAGACCAATTCATACTGAAACGTACACGTGGACAGACGCATGAACAACACACATTCACACACACATACACACGCATG